CAAATTTTCAATGAAATCGGAGACAAAAAAATTATTTCTCAAAAAATTTGGAAGGCTATAATACCCTTTCCTTTTTATTTAGAAAAATAAAGGTTTAAAAAAATTGGCGTATGTATAGAATGGAACGTCAGGATCTCAAAAAGATACTCTGTTCCCCTCTAACAAGACTAATTAAAAAGTTGGAGCTCATTTCTTAAAAAGTATCCAACATAGAGAGACGCAGACACCAGCAAGACATTTTAAATCTTTTACTCTAACGTAGTGCCGAATTTCATGAAGATCGGAGCAGAAATAACATTTTTCCATACTTACTCGGTTTCCGTTTCAAACTACTAAAAGTTGCAATTTCGTTAACAAAATTTTTTGGTATCAGGATAGCAGAAGAGCGAGGAGATATTTAAGTTCCTCAATCAAATTACAATAAAATTCAGGGTAACACAAAATTAAGTTTCTTCATCAAATTGTCATTGCCATTCAGGGCAACGCAAAATCGACGGATATATAAACTTGAATATCTCCTAAACAGCTTAGAATAGAGACGAACTACAAAGAGCACTCTATTATGTCCGTTCGGCTCTACGTTTTTAGCTTGTTTAGAGAATGATTCGATTATTAATAACTGAGGAAAATTAAAAAAAAAAAAACCCTTGTCAATAAGAAGCAACTGAATCCACCCCTTAATTTGCATTGTTCTCTTTGATATGTAGCCAAATTTTCATTGAAATCGAAGACAAAAAAATTATTTCTCAAAAAATTTGGAAGGCCTTTCCTTTTTTTTGGGAAAATAAAAGTTTAAAAAAATTTAGGTATGTATAGAATGGAACGTGAGGATCTCAAAAAGATACTCTGTTCCCCTCTAACAAGACTAATTAAAAAGTTGGAGCTCATTTCTTAAAAAGTATCTAACATAGAGAGACGCAGACACCAGCAAGACATTTTAAATCGTTTACTGTAACGTAGTGCCGAATTTCATGAAGATCGGAGCAGAAATAACATTTTTCCATACTTACTCGGTTTCCGTTTCAAACTACTAAAAGTTGCAATTTCGTTGACGAAATTTTGGTATCAGGATAGCAGAAGAGCGAGGAGATATTTAAGTTCCTCAATGTTATTACTATAAAATTCAGGGTATCGCAAAATTAAGTTTCTTCATCAAATTGTCATTGCCATTCAGGGTAACGCAAAATCGACGGATGTATAAACTTTAATATCTCCTAAACGGCTTAGTATAGAGACGAACGACAAAGAGCACTTTAATCTATCTGTTCGGCTCTACGTTTTGAGCATGTTTAGAGAATGATTCGATTATTAATAACTGAGGAAAATTAAAAAAAAAATAAAACCCTTGTCAATAAGAAGCAACTGAATCCACCCCCTAATTTGCATTGTTCTCTTTGATATGAAGCCAAATTATCATTGAAATCGGAGACAAAAAAAATTTTTCTCAAAAAATTTGGAAGGCTATACCCTTTCCTTTTTTTTTGGGAAAATAAACGTTTAAAAAAATTTACGTATGTATAGAATGGAACGTGAGGATCTCAAAAAGATACTCTGTTCCCCTCTAACAAGACTAATTAAAAAGTTGGAGCTCATTTCTTAAAAAGTATCCAACATAGAGAGACGCAGACACCAGCGAGACATTTCAAATCGTTTATTGTAACGTAGTGCCGAATTTCATGAAGATCGAAGCAGAAATAACATTTTTCTATACTTATCGGTTTTCGTTTCAAACTACTAAAAGTTGCAATTTCGTTGACAAAATTTTTTGGTATCAGGATAGCAGAAGAGCGAGGAGATATTTAAGTTCCTCAATGAAATTACTATAAAATTCAGGGTAACGCAAAATTAAGTTTCTTCATTAAATTGTCATTGCCATTTAGGGTAACGCAAAATCGTCGGATATATAAACTTGAATATCTCCTAAACGGCTTAGGATAGAGACGAACTACAAAGAGCACTCTATTATATCCGTTCGGCTCTACGTTTTGAGCATGTTTAGAGAATGATTCGATTATTAATAACTGAGGAAAATTTAAAAAAAATAAAACCATTCTCAATAAGAAGCAACTGAATCCACCCCTTAATTTGCATTGTTCTCTTTGATATGTAGCCAAATTTTCATTGAAATCGGAGACAAAAAAAATTTTTCTCAAAAAATTTGGAAGTCTATACCCTTTCCTTTTTTTTTGGGAAAATAAACGTTTAAAAAAATTTACGTATGTATAGAATGGAACGTGAGGATCTCAAAAAGATACTCTGTTCCCCTCGAACAAGACTAATTAAAAAGTTGGAGCTCATTTCTTAAAAAGTATCCAACATAGAGAGACGCAGACACCAGCAAGACATTTTAAATCGTCTACTGTAACGTAGTGCCGAATTTCATGAAGATAGGAGCTGAAATAACATTTTTCCATACTTACTCGGTTTCCGTTTCAAACTAGTAAAAGTTGCAATTTCGTTGACGAAATTTTGGTATCAGGATAGCAGAAGAGCGAGGAGATATTTAAGTTCCTCAATCAAATTACTATAAAATTCAGGGTAACGCAAAATTAAGTTTCTTCATCAAATTGTCATTGCCATTCAGGGTAACGCAAAATCGACGGATATATAAACTTGAATATCTCCTAAACGGCTTAGACTAGAAACGAACTACAAAGAGCACTCTGTTATATCCGTTCGGCTCTACGTTTTGAGCATGTTTAGAGAATGATTCGATGATTAATAACTGAGGAAAATTAAAAAAAAATAAAACCCTTGTCAATAAGAAGCAATTGAATCCACCCCTTAATTTGCATTGTTCTTTTTGATATGTAGCCAAATTTTCATTGAAATCGGAGACAAAAAATTTTTTTCTCAAAAAATTTGGAAGGCTATACCCTTTCCTTTTTTTTAGAAAAATAAAAGTTTAAAAAAATTGGCGTATGTACAGAATGGAACGTGAGGATCTCAAAAAGATACTCTGTTCCCCTCTAACAAGACTAATTAAAAAGTTGGAGCTCATTTCTTAAAAAGTATCCAACATAGAGAGACGCAGACACCAGCAAGACATTTTAAATCGTTTACTGTAACGTAGTGCCGAATTTCATGAAGATCGGAGCAGAAATAACATTTTTCCATACTTACTCGGTTTCCGTTTCAAACTTACTAATAGTTGCAATTTCGTTGACAAAATGTTGGTATCAGGATAGCAGAAGAGCGAGGAGATATTTAAGTTCCTCAATCAAATTACTATAAAATTCAGGGTAATGCAAAATTAAGTTTCTTCATCAAATTGTCATTGCCATTCAGGGTAACACAAAATCGACGGATGTATAAACTTGAATATCTCCTAAACGGCTTAGAATAGAGACGAATTACAAAGAGCACTCTTATTATATCCGTTCGGCTTTACGTTTTGAGGATGTTTAGAGAATGATTCGGTTATTAATAACTGAGGAAAATTAAAAAAAAATAAAACCCTTGTCAATAAGAAGCAACTGAATCCACCCTTTAATTTGCATTGTTCTCTTTGATATGTAGCCAAATTTTCATTGAAATCAGAGACAAAAAATTTTTTAAAATCGTTTACTGTAACGTAGTGCCGAATTTCATGAAGATCGGAGCTGAAATAACATTTTTCCATACTTACTCGCTTTCCGTTTCAAACTTACTAAAAGTTGCAATTTCGTTGACAAAATTTTGGTATCAGGATAGCAGAAGAGCGAGGAGATATTTAAGTTCCTCAATCAACGTAGGCCAAAAGGAACTCCCCGAAAATCCACTTGAAAAGTCTAAAGTGTTTTTTATTGATCTTTTTTTGACCATGTAATTTAATATTATGATTTAATAAAACCTTGTCCAACTACAAGTTTTATTATTTTATTAAATATTTGTTTGGCGCGCTTGCCCTTGGACAAAACTTTACAAATCAACATACTTATTTACAGGGTATTATATTTATTCGTAACAATACATCATTTGATTTATATAATTTTGAATATTTGATATTACCGTGATATCGCGGCTTGGTCCCTACTTTTAACCCTTCCAAAATCTTTTTAAGGGATTCACATGAATACAAGGATACGACCTAGCTTATTTCATATCTATGTTGTTATTTATCAGGAACCTAAACAATAACACATGATTTTTACGAGGTAGAATTACTGATTATTACTATTCATATTGCTGATGTTAGAAGTTAAACGAATTAAATTCAAAATTATTGTTTTGAATTATCTATCATCCTGTATAGATACTTCACAAAACGTGTTAACATGGTTTTGTTTTATGAAATATGTCGAAAACTAAATGTTTATAATTAAAGGACAAAACGAAAAAGTCTTTAACGGACCCTAACGCCTACTTGCTTGCGTTAACTCGATCAAAATTCAAGTTTTCTTAGAGGTGCTGCTACGAGCGCATTGCGGAACCATCAGCTTCAGCGACCCTAACACTGTAATTATTTTTATGCAATTTAGAGACTAAAATGGCACTTCTACACGCTAGGGATTAAAAATTACAACCGAAAATCGGTACACTATAACAACCTTGCACTGTTTATTTTCTTTTCCTAAAGTGCAATTAGACACAAAGGAACTGAAGTGGTTTTTTTATTCTTCTCCTTGGTATAAAAACTACCACTCAGTTCCTATATACTGTTGGGTACCAAACATGGATGAAGGACTTAAAAAATATCAACCAATACTAAATATTAATCTTTATTAGACAAATGCTTGATTGATCAAATTCCAAGTAAAGGTAGATTTCATTACTCGAAACATAGGTACAATATTTTCTTAGTAAAAGTAAGATTGAATTAACTTTTGGATAAACATTTCTTGAAATTATAATTTCTAATAACACGTTTGTTCATACATACGTCCAATATTTTTGCGATGAACTAATTTATTTTTTGAAGTATATTATCTAATATGAAAATTGTTATACACATTATAATCTATAGTTTACATTAAAATACTTCCAAATGTAAAAAAAGAACTATTAAGATTCCTCGTCCATTACTTAATAGTGTTCACAGCATTTTCTGTTGTCTCCGTCTTAATTTGTTTTCCACCGTCACCTAAAACAAAATTCACATTTTACAATTTACTCCTACAATCTATATATTAATTTGTTTAGGGTCCAACTCTTTTTACAATATAAAAAAAGTTCATTTTTCAAAACTACGTTATGATATTAAAATGTAGCATAAGGCGAAATAACTAAAGTATAACAGATACATACAGTATAATGCAAATGTATAGAATAAATTAATTTAAAAAATAAACCACTTTTGAAAAAATTCTAATACATTTAAGAAACGTTATAGTTTATGTTTATGTATGAGAGAGTAATAAAATAAAACTTAGTACGGTCATTTTAAATATTTTTACAGAATAATCTAAATATTTCCTAAAATTGTAATAAATGTACCTGAGCTATTACAAATTTTGGGTCTTTTATTGGTCCTTTATAAACATAAGCTGTACAAAACAATAGAAAAAGGTTTGGACAGGCCAAAAGACTTGTGTATTAAAGATTACATAGCCGCATCTTAAGATTATTTTCAATAAGTACCTATTTGCCAATTTTGTTTTATTTTAATTCCAAAAATTTCTTACAGTAATCGAATTATAAGTAGAAAAATACCTTCCCAACAAATTTCACCGAAAATGCGATTATAGGTTTTCCATTTAGTAAGGAGATCCAAGTTGTGTATTCTTGACAGTTTACTAAATGTCGTTTAGTTGCAACTTGCAAGGTGCAATGTGAATTCTAGTGTGATCATGGAAAATTTGGAAGGGCCGCGTAAACGACAAAAAATCGGTCCTTTAACAATTAATGAAAAAACATTAATATTTGTTTTAAATCATTTACAGACAAACATTTATGTAAAACTGTTGATGACACAGTGGAATTAGTTAGTAGTACGCTTGGTGTTGGGAAATCTACGATTTACAGAGTTGTTAAAGAAGAGAAATGTGGCGAGTTTCAAACAGCACGTAAAGCTCCAGGAAAACCAAAATTACAATTAGAAAATCTTTTAAATGAAAAGCCTTCGAAGGAAAGTGCATGCGTTCTTCTTTAGAAAAGAATTTCCGACAGTAGACAAAGTTCTTGCCACAGTTCGAGATGATAAGGATTACCCTGAAATGAGTCGAAGCACACTATGGAAACTTTTAAAAGAAATAGGTTTTCTATGGAAAAAGCATTCCAGAAAGTCTATTTTAATAGAAAGAAGCGATATTGTAGTATGGAGAAGAAATTACCTAAGGACTATAAAAGAAATGAGAAACCAAAGAAAAAATATATTTTATTTAGATAAAACATGGATCAACGAGGGACATAAACCAAATAAATTTTGGCAAGATGAAACTGTTACAAGTCGAAGACAGGCTTTTTTAAATAATTTATCTACTGATTTAAATCCACCATATTTTTTTTGTTAGATGTTTTCGGAAAACCCGGAAAAAATCATATGGGAAAAAATTAAAAAAAAAAAAAACTACTCTTTTTATTATCATTTTTTATTTTTTTTATCATTTTTTTATCTTTTTTTATAGTTTTTATCGTTTTTTATTATTTTTTTTTATCATTTTTTTATCTTTTTTATCATTTTTATCGGTTTTCATCGTTTTAATAGTTTTTTTTTATCGTTTTATCATTTTTTATCATTTTTCATCGGTTTTTTATCATTTTTTTTTATCGTATTTATAGTTTTTTTTATCATTTTTTGTACCAATTTTTTTTATAATTTTTTATCGTTTTTTATCAACTTTTATCACCTCTTGTCACTTTTTATCAAACCCTATCAATTTCCATCAATTTCTATGAATGTCTATTAATTTATTTCTAATAATTTCAATTTCTATTAATCTTTATTAAATTTTATTGATTTTTATTCATTTTTATCAATTTTTTTTATCATTTTTATCGTTTTTTATCAACTTTTTGTCACTTTTTATCAAATTCCATTAATTTCCATACATTTCTATAAATTTCTATGAATTTCCATCAATTTCTATGAATGTCTGTTAATTTATTTCTAATAATTTCAATTTCTATTAATCTTTATTAAATTTTATTAATTTTTATCAATTTTTTTATCAACTTTTATCACCTTTTTGTCACTTTTTATCATTTTTTTTATCAATTTGCATGAATTTCCATTAATTTCTATTAATTTTCATAAATTTCCATTAATTTCCTTCAATTTCCATCAATTTCTATGAATGTCTATTAATTTATTTCTAATAATATCAATTTCTATTAATCTTTATTTATTTTTATCAATTTTTTTTAATTTTTATCAATTTTTTTTTAAATTTTATCAATTTTTTTTAATTTTAATCAATTTTTTTTTATAATTTTTTATCGTTTTTTATCGACTTTTATCACCTTTTTGTCATTTTTTATCAAATTCTATCAATTTCCATCAATTTCTATGAATTTCTATTAATCTCCATTAATTTTTATTGAATTCTATTAATTTTTATCACTTTTTATCAATTTGTATCTATTTGTATCTATTTGTATCTATTTGTATCTATTTGTATCTATTTGTATCTATTTGTATCAATTTATTTGTATCAATTTTTATTAATTTTTATTAATAATTATTAATTTTTATTAATAATTATTAATTTTTATTAATAATTATTACTTTTTATGAGTTTCTATAAATGTTTATAAATTTCTAGAAACTTCTATGAATTTCTATGAATGTTTATTAATCTCCATTAATTTTTATAGATTTTTATTAATTTTTTGTTTATTTATTAATATTTATTTATATATTTTTTTTTTATTTTTATTTATTTATTTTACGATACTCCCCATTTCCTCCTCCTTCAAATGTGAAAATTAAAAAACCTTCAAATTCGTCATTATTTACTTATGATGAGTAGCTACAATTCCAATTTTCAAGTACCTACCTTTAAAAAAATTGATACTCCCTTACAAACTTACACCCCCTCCTTTTCCCCTTAAAATATGAAAATTCAAAAACCCTGAAACATCTATTAGATTAGATTACATTTGCAGAACAGCTTGAGCTGATCCTAGGACCTTTTGACCATATTTATTTCTGGTACTTTAATTTTTTTTTTTTAAATATTGTATTTTAAATAGTCAGTAAATATTATTATTATTATTATATATGAAAAAAGTTATTGATCTATGAACTGTGTTTTGACTGCCTTGTTTTAGCGGCCAAATAAAAGAATTTAAAAAAAATTATAACTTACTTTCTGTAGTTTCTTGTTCTGCGCGACGTTTACGTGCATATCTTTCTCTAAACATATTTTTTGGTGCTGGCAAAGGCTCCATTCCCAATACCTAGAAAATAAAAAAAATATATAGAGCTAGAAATAATCGAGTATTCAAAAATAATCAATTATTTTGCGCACCCTTAAAGATGACATGAAAAGGTAATTTGATGGAGAATTCGGCAATAAGATTATCTAGTTTACAATTTAACAATTAATTCATCCAGAGCCGATGCTTAAGAGGTTATTAAGGTGTACACGAAAAAGAGTCAAAACTCTCGCTTGGAAGTACAATATTAAAAACGAGATGATCGAAATAGGTCAGCTCCTTAAATTTTCGAATCACATACAATACAGTAGTCCAATTAAATAGACCTTTAAATCAAAATTTTGGAGGAAATACAGGAATTTTTGATATAAGTCACATTAGAGTATTTGAAAACGATAGGTAAAAAAATTTTGATTTTCAGGCACCAGCAAATGTCAAAAAACAATAAAATAAAGTGTTTTTTAAGGTTATTTAAAAACGGTACGTGCTATCAAAAAAGTTTTGAATAAAAATTGTAAAGCATAAAGTTTTACATAAAAATTATATTTGACATTTTTTAATATTATTAAAACTGACAGAGTTAGGGTGGTTAGAAATTAAGAAGAGATATATATCACTTGGAAAAGTCATGGCGAGCTGAAAATTCAATGATTTTGTAGTTTCTTTTTATTATTTACTCAGAAAATTATCAATTTCTTTTAGGAATTTTGTTTTTATTTTTTTGATTTATAACAATTTTTATTTAGAAATTTTCAATATATTATACGAATTTATATGGTAAAAGAAATTTTGAAGTAAACTTATTAGCTTGACTGACATAAAAAATATGGTGAATGAACTAATAAAAACGACATCCCGACAGTTTGGTACCCACTTAAAGTTCCATTAAATAAATAAAAATAAACAACTAAATAAAAATATTAAAAAAAAAAAATAAATAAAAATAAATACAAAAAATTAATAAATAAAAACGATATCCCGACAGTTTGGTCCCCACTTGAAGTTCCATTAAATAAATAAAAATAAAAACAAATAAAAATAATTAAAAAATAAACAAAAATTTAAATAAAAAAAAAATAGTTAAAAAAATTAAAAATAAATAAAAATAAATGAAAAGATAAATGTAAAAGAAAATAAATAAACAAATATATGTAAATAAAAATAACAAATTGTTAAAAAAAATTAAATAAAATTAGGTAAATTAATAAAAATAAAACATAATAAAAAAATAAATAAAATAAACACAAATAAGTTAAAGAAAATAAATAAAAATAATTAAAAAAAAAAAAAATTTCAAACAAAAAAAAATAATTACAAATTGTTAAAAAAATTAAATAAAAATAGAAATTAAACAAAAATAAATAAAAATAAATGTAAAAGAAAGTAAATAAAAATAAATAAAATAAAGAAAAACATAAAAATAAAAAATAAATAAAAATGAATAAAAATAAAATAAAAATTAAAAAAAATATTAATTTTTATTTATTTATAGAAAATAAAAAATAAATAGAAACTAAAAAAATAAAAACTAAATAAAAAAAATAAATATTAAAAAATAAAAATGAATATCTTTTATTTTTATTTCTTTATTTTTGTTTCTCTTTATTTTTTTTTATTTTTGTTTCTTTTTATTTATTTTTATTTACTTTCTTCTACATTTATCTTTTCATTTATTTTTTATTTATTTTTATTTATTTTCTTTTATACTTATCTTTTCATTTATTTTTGTTTAATTTTATTTATTTTTTATATTTAATAATTTACCTATTTTTTTTTTAGTTTGTTTTTTTAATTATTTTTTTTATATATTTTAATTATTTATTTTTATTTATTTGAATTTATTTTCATTTGTTTTTTATTTATTTATTTTTTATATTTAATAATTTACCTATTTTTATTTAAATTTTGTTTGTTTTTTTAATTATTTTTTTTTATATATTTTAATTATTTTTTTTTATATATTTTAATTATTTTTTTTTATTTATTTGAATTTATTTTCATTTGTTTTTTATTTTTATTTATTTATTTTTTATTTTTAATTATATTTATTTATAATTTTCATTTTTAAGTTTCATTTATTTTTATTTATATTTTATTTATTTGTATTTATTTTTATTTATTTGTTTTTATATTTTTTTTTAATTTACCTATTTTTATTTATTAATTTTTTGAATTTATTTTTATTTTTTTTAATATTTTTATTTAGTTCTTTTTTGTTTGTTTTTATTTTTATTTATTTTCTTTTATACTTATCTTTTCATTTATTTTTGTTTAATTTAATTTTATTTTTTATATTTAATAATTTACCTATTTTTATTTAAATTTTGTTTGTTTTTTTTAATTATTTTTTTTATATATTTTAATTATTTTTTTTTATTTATTTGAATTTATTTTCATTTGTTTTTTATTTTTATTTATTTTTTTATTTTTAATTATTTTTATTTATTTATTTATTTTTTTAATTACAATTATTTTTAATTATATTTATTTATTTTTTATTTTCATTTATTTTTATTTATTTATTTTTAAGTTTTATTTATTTTTATTTATATTTTATTTATTAATGTTTTGAATTTATTTTTATTTTTTTTAAGATTTTTGTTTGTTTTTATTTTTATTTATTTAATGGAACTTTAAGTGGGGATCAAACTGTCGGGATATCGTTTTTATTAGTTCACTCCTCATATTTTTCATGTCAGTCAAGCTAAGAAGTTTACTTCAAAATTTATTTTACCATATAAATTCGTATAATATATAGAAAATTTCTAAATTAAAATTGTTATAACTCAAAAAAACAAAAATTTCCTAAAAGAAATTTATAATTTTCTGAGTAAATAATAAAAAGAAACTACAAAATCATTGAATTTTCAGCTCGCTATGATTTTTCCAAGTCATATATATCTCTTCCTAATTTCTAACCACCCTAACTCTGTCAGTTTTAATAATATCAAAAAATGTCAAATATCATTTTTATGTAAAACTTTATGCTTTACAATTTTTATTCAAAACTTTTTTTGATAGCACGTACCGTTTTTAAATAACCTTAAAAAAACACTTTATTTTCTTATTTTTTGACATTTGCCGGTGCCTGAAAAACAAAATTTTTTTTACCTATCGTTTTCAAATACTCTAAAGTCAAAAATTCCTGTATTTCCTCCAAAATTTTGATTCAAAGGTCTATTTGATTGGACTACAGGTTTCGTTACCTTACCTTATAAATTTGCCTAAAAGCAATTAATCTTAGGGCGTGCTGAGCATAGCAAGTGAGATCTTCTCGCTGTTGGGCTGTCAAAGTGACGCACGCGTCGGGAGAATCCTTTTCGCACGGATCTGCAAGACCAGGTCCTCCGGGTAACAATAAACCGCTAGCAACGGCTTCCATGACGCGTCTTAATGCGTCTCCAGGCGATAGATGACTCTGTCCAGGCACTGAAGAGATTACCTTCTCGGCTAACAATTCCATTGCCTAAAAAAAAAAAAAACAGGTAATTTGAAGGTTAAATTAAGATTCTAGTAAGAATTAAAATAGGTAAAGAGAAAATGTTATTTATTAAAAAAACAAACTTTTCGTATTTTTGCCCTGAAGAATTGTTTTCTGAAAATCCCTGTGTCTACACTGTTAAATTATGTTTTCAAATTACTTAATTTGTTTTTAATAATGTAATATCTACTTCAAATATTTAAAATTCAACATTGTTTAGATAGTTTTTGTTTAAACTTACCCAAGAAGAAAGTGGCGCCCAAGTAGGAACTCTTTCGCACAAGTCTCTTAGGATCCGGATAATGATAGCACAAGAGTGAAGACCTAGTGCCCTAGCCTAAAAAAGGTTTATTTAAATATACTGCAGACTTAAAAAAACGAGATGCGAGTCATAAAGATGAACTAGAAAAATTGTAGAAATTATGTGATTGGTAATGATGAGTTGCAACAAATTGAGATATTAACCCTCAATTGTAGATTCTAAATAATACACGGTGACGATTTCATTAAGATTTTCAAATAAAAGTAGCTATTTTTTTAAAAATACCCTGTAGAAAAATAAGCAAAATTCAATTTCGAGATAAGATACAGGGCGTTCCACTAAAAACAACAACTTTGGTATGCGATAATTTTATGAAACACCCTACCCTGTATATTACGAAATAATTTTAAAATGTGTAGCTGGAGTCTATAATTTGTGTTTAAAACTTTTGTTCATATCTCTCGAAACAACGGAGATATCAAGCTGCGGAGTATAAGTTAATCACCCTGTATATTATACATTTGCAAGCATCTTATGTCGTCCGATTTTACTACTTTCGAAGTAATTTTGGCTACGTGACCGGATATTTATGTTTTTCAACTAAATTCTGGATATACTTAGCTCAAACAGTATTTTTTTTCAAAGATATTTTTTTTTTAAATAGGTGTAAAATCGGCACCAAAAATCGAAGATTGGTTTAATTGGTCTCAAAATGTTTGTATGACTCTCAAATAAGAGTATTCTCCTTGCAAGCATTTTTTTATTAAGTAGTTTTACCCCATTTTCTCAAAAATTCGGGTTGAATAAAAGGCTCAAAGAATAGAACTACCGAATAAAAAATGCTTTAAGGACAATACTCTTATTTGAGAGCCATACAAACATAAAGTCGAAAAGTGGGACTTTTGGTTATATACCTATTTCCAAAAACAATCATTTTCGACAGGTTACATTTTTTTGCATATCAACCCTTTCGTCGAAACAGAAATAAAAAATGCCCCATTCATCTTAGAATCAGAAAAAAAAAGGGTTTAAGCTTTATCTCGAATTTCATTGAAGAACGTAAAAATCAGGTCACGATAATGCATGAACGAATGAATTTTACAGGTATCAAGTCAGCTCTTACCACTGGAACATAGTACTTGTTGTTCACCCCTCTACCCTGTACTCAACTACAAATAGTAAGCAATTTTTTGCAGTCAGATAAAAGACTTTTTTCAATTACCACCAAATAAATCTTTTTTTCTTAAAGTACCCTTTATGACTCACACTAAACATACAATTATAAGCTGATGTTTAAGTTTGACTAGTTTATAGAAAAAAAAAAATGGGAATATAATTATTGTATAAAAATTAAAGTAAAAAATGAGTGAATGAATAATAAAAACGAACAAACTAACATCAGCTAAATCATCGAGTCGCGAAATCAGATCCAGACAATCAAGGAAAACATTTTTCTAATTCAAAATCTACAGCCTAATTAGAGCGAACCACCTTCAAATTACAGTTTTTCTTTCTTTTGGTCACATTCTTATGGTTAATATTAGATAAAACGTAATTGGAATTTTAAAATAATAATAATAATTTTAAATAGAATGTGGATGAGGTTAATTAATGGGAAGAGGACGTGCCAATAAGAAATTCCTTGCAAAAACAGGTAAGCACATCACAGCACAAATTGTCGTCAATGTGGTCTATTCTGTAACAATTCCTTTATATTTTAACGGCCGTTTTTTCTTATAAAGTTACGTCTCTTCGTGAAGTTATCAGATACACCAGTTAGATACGTGCTATTTTAATAAATGTAATGAATTGAGAATTTCCTGAAATTGTAGAGCATACTCTTTTTTCGAATTACGTAACTTCGTGATATTGACGATAATAATAATAATAATAATAATAATACTCTCCCTAATTCACCCCCTTACGAGTGAATTTTAACCCCAAAAGCTGAGCTTGTGTGGGGAGAGGGACGGCTATTATTATTATTTGCCGTGGCGCTCCAGGGCGACTTAATGATGATTGATGGTGCCATTTGACTTACATGGTGATTTTATTTTAATAATCTGGATGCCACATCAACAGAAATTAAATTTCTGCTAATATGGCATCCATTAAATCCTATAGAGAACCATGCAAATAAATTTACAAGGTCTTCCGTAGGATCTGAAACCGTGTTTCGTTTTACCAGAAAAATTGGCTGACACATGAATGCCGCGCCGTAGATACCTACACCACCGTAGTCGATATTACCAATCATAAGGTTCTTTGGTTCTGGTGTAGGAATGAACTACACCAATGATCCAATACCTTCGGCCTGTAAAATCCACTACACCTTTCAGTCTTTGGTTTGTTGGCCACCAGCTATTTAGCAAAAGTAAATTACACTCTAGGTAAACTAAGAAAAATATTAATTCATGTCAATGCAGTTATTAATAATATATGTTAAGTAGGGAACAATAAATGGACAACAGAGTAATAAAATTTCAATATTTATTTGATTAGAGCCAACTGCTTTTGTTTTAATATTTTTTAATATATGGAACAATTCTTTCTGTGTAGTATGGGTAAATAAAAGAGTATATTCCACAGTTGGTATTACATTATTTTTATAGTATTCTATATGTTTGTCTGGTTTACAATCATCCCTGGAATCATTAACAAAAAAATGATTCAACTCATTGGGATTACTTAACGCAGGTGGCAATGATGATTTGTTAATATTTTTAAAGTCTAGTTTTTTTAAAAAATTTTCATCTTTCCTTTGTATTGCAATTAGAGTTTAAACTCCATGTATGCCTTCTTTTCTCGTTTTGTGGCAGCTGAGGTATAGTTCCTTAATTCTTTATAGTACTCCCAATGTGCTGGATATTTCGATTTTTTAAATGTTTTTAATGCTTTGTCCATAAGTTTTTGCATGAGCTTGATGTTATCAGTTATCCAGGGTTGATTTTTGAATTTTACCTCTGATTGTATAGTTTTTAGAGGAGCATGTTGGTCTACCAAGTTTAATATATTAATATTAAGATATGCTATTTTCTCATCTATACAGGGTGTCCCGAAATTAGACGGTCATATTTTAACAGCGTAATCTAGAAAATATTTACAAAAATATGTCATCAGAACTTCATTTTTAACACCCTGTATCTCGGAAAAGAAACGTTTTCGGACCTATGTTTATATGAACTTTGACCGTCTAATTTCGGGACACTCTGTATACAGTTGTTAACCCTTGACATACTTTCATGGAAAAAAACAAGAATTACTTAAGAGTGGTGGAGATATATTTGAAAATATTAATTCTGCATTCGTTACTTTTGAAACCTTCTAACACCTCACCCTGTAGAGCTGCAATGTTGAGATCCATAAAGGTACCATTTCGGTAGGCGCGACAGACGACCGCCGACACGACAAACGATCGCCGACGCGACCGAGAAGTGTCGTCAAGACGACACTTCCTGGAGACACTTTTGAATCTGCCTCGGGACGAAGGTTTGCTGCGTGTCGCACTCGGGGTCACTGTCCTCGAGCATCGGTTCATTTTGAGTGTGATTAGGATGGAAATTTATTTCGATCTAGGCAGCGTTGCCAGATTAAAAAAGTCAGTCAAAATAATTTCAGAAAAATCGATATTAATGAAATACCCCTCGACAAGATCCACCTATTGCAGAAGGAACAAAATCGAATTCGTCAAATAAGTCTTCAACCCCCTTCAAACAATACCCATCTGTGGTATACGCCACTGTAGACATTGGGTGTTGTTGCCCTCATCATCATGTTTAGATTAGGCAATCGACGTCCAGAAATCAAAAATTGATAATACCTGCCACCCAACAAGCCACTTTCAATATCAATACCGAAGAAGACGAATAACGACCCACACCCTGTATGGATCTCTCTGGGAAAGGTTAGGTTAGGTTTGATCCAAATTTTTTTGGTCCAAATTTTTTTTGGTCTAAATTATTTTGGTCTAAATTATTTTGGTCCAAATTTTTTGGTCCAAATTTTTTTTATCCAATTTTTTTTTGGTCCAAATTTTTTTAGTCATTTCTTTCCAATTTTTTTTGGTTTAATTTTTTTTTGTCCAAATTTTTATATTCCAATTTTTTTTGGTATAAATTTTTTTGGTCTAAATTTTTTTTGGTCCAAATTTTTTTGGTCTAAATTTTTTTTGGTCCAAATTTTTTTGGTTCAATTTTTTTTGGGTAAAATTTTTTTGGTCAAAATTTTTTTGGTAATTTCTTTCTGGTCCAAATTTTTTAGTCCAAATTTTTTGGTCCAAATTTTTTTGTTCTAAATTATTTTGGTCCAAATTATTTTGGTCTAAATTTTTTTTGGTCCAAATTTTTTTGGTCCAAATTTTTTTGGTCTAAATTATTTTGGTCTAAATTATTTTGGTCCAAATTATTTTGGTCCAAATTTTTTTGGTTCAAATTTTTTGGTCCAAATTTTTTAGTCCAAATTATTTGGTTTAATTTTTTAGGTCCAAATTTTTTTGGTCCAATTTTTTTGGGTAAAATTTTTTTGGTCAAAATTTTTTATTCCAATTTTTTTTGGTATAAATTTTTTTGGTCTAAATTTTTTTTGGTCCAAATTTTTTTGGTCCAAATTTTTTTTGTACTAAAAAAAATCTAGATCTGAACAGTAGGTTTTAATACAGGGGGAAATAATTATAATTTGCAGTGTAGTAAATAAAAAAAGAAGTATATAAGAAACGAAAAATAAACATTTTTCTACCCAAATTAGAAAGTAAACAAAGAATAAAAACATTTTTATTATATACTTAATGTACGGGAAAAAAACCAACGAAAAATAATAAGTACCTACTTCTTTTAGATCAGTCTGAATCAGATAATTCAAAATCGTAGTGTTTGGCATATGCATGTTCTTTTTATGATGCCCTATTAATTCTTTGTTTCATTTTAATTAAAAACAATGATTATCTTGATGTTTTTTTTTTTATGGAGCCAACCTACAATAGTGGCTGCTTATTACGCTGCTTTTAATGCAGAAAATTTACTAGAGAAAATATTCTTTAACCATTTGCTGAAGAATGAGGCAAACTTAATAAATTAAGAACAAAATTTACTAGAGACAAAAACACTGGATCTACGTAAAAACAGTAGGTCTGGCAACGCTGATCGTTCCCTCGAATGGTTATTTACAAGTGTCGCGCGACACTTCAAGCTCCCGAAATGAACGGAGCATAACATTTATGCATCTGTCGTCCTAGTGGTCTCCTGTCTCTTGACGCGGCTACCGAAGGGGCGTTTGATTTGAAACTCGATCGAGCGAGCGTCGAGGAGACCGAGAAGTGATGACGTCACAATAGAGCATTGAGTCAAATCAAATAAAACAGAGTAAAAAACATAACCTCGCTTTTTTGTGATTCTTGTTTCTCAAAATAGTGAGCAGAAAGTAAAGAAAATAGAAAAACTTTTAATAGTAAAGGGTAATGGTCCTGAAATGCAGCATATACCACAAATGCCCGCTTCGCTTTTATACTCCATGACTGTGATTACTGGTGATTAAATTTGGACAGAACAAATGTATTTTCCAAACAGACATTCTGGTTTTTTTTATGACGAATAATTTTAGATATAAGACAAAAGCAGCTAAGTATTTTATTGACTTCTTGTCGGGTCTTTAATTTTGAGGTTCAATTTTGTTTGTAGGTTAATTAAAAAAAGATAGGTAGAGATAAAGACAAATTTCTCCCTCTTCTCGATCCTTCTGCTCTGAGAACATCGAGCTTGCTCTATGTTCTCGCTCCAAAGCGAAACAAACACTTTAGGGATCTCTCGGAGGGTCAATTCAAACACTTTTGAAGCGCTCGGAGATCTCCGATGATCAAATCAAACGCACCACATAATGGTACCTTAAGAAAGTTGCCTTTAAATAACATACTAAAATATGAACAAATTCTGACAGTACCCAAAATCAATGTAAAAAGCGAGTGGTCTTTTACAGATTTATAAAATTATTTAAATGTTCTCGTCAGGTTTCGTATTACAATAATATGTTATGTTGTTAAATGTATACTGATTAGAGGTGGGAAGTTCGAATCTTTTTACTGAATTAATTCATTTGATTCATTCACCTAAAAAGATTCGTTCTTCAAGATTCGTTCTTAAGTGATTCACTCTAGCGAACCACGAACGATGTTATTCCGCCAATCCGGCGAAGGCAACCGAACCGAACTTTTACGAATTTGAGTACTACCTAATCTACCTACCTACCTACCTACTAGGTCGTCGAATAAAATAATTATAACCATATTTATTTTAAAGTAAAGCGAATTAATGTTTCATATTTCATAAAAAAAGGCAGCTGAATAATAAATACATCCTTGTCCGTTAAGATAAACAACAATAACACATTTTTTTTTAAATGCCAAATATGTAGCCAAAATTAACGCAAAATTATATATTCACGATTCGTCATTTTTTGTTTTAATTTTACTTTGATTTAATTTTATTTCAGACAACACGCATAAATTGTTTACCTAAGCTTAATACACACCTCCTGTAAAGTGAGAAAAACATTAAAGACACATACCGCCACCGCCTGTCAGAGTTCTCGTATTATGCCGTAGAACTAATAGTGGTTATTCTGTGGTAGAATGTAGAATAAAAGCGACCAATTTGCCGATGACGATGTAAAATACCAAATCTTCGAATCCGAATCGAATGAACGAAGCAACCAAACTCGGAACTCGGCATGTTTGATCGATCGCAGAGCCATCGAGCAATTGACTCAAAAAAGATTCGAATCTTTTAAAAACAGGGAATCAATTCATTCGAGTCAGTGCACTGATTCGTTCTCTTTGAACGAATCGTTCGCAAACGACACACTTCTAATACTGATATATGAAGTGCCATAGCGCTCTCGGAAATTTTGACGCGATGTCGCCGCTCGGCATTATAATGGTCATACATTTTATAGATACCTTTTTCGTGTCTGCAGAATATCTTTTGTATTTCTTTTCGACCATTTTGTAATCAGGAATTTACACGAAAAAATACATAAAAAATAAATGCGTCCCTGAGGATGAAATGAGCACGACATACGCCGATCGTCGTGTGCCAATCCCCAATCTATCCAATTATTGTGATCTGGGGCCATTTCATAAAACTACTTTACAAAATTTCACTTTGCAGATTATCAATTTTTCATTTTCAATTTTCAAATTGCTTATCAAATTTCTCGTTTATAAAGCATAAATTTAATAAAATATACAAAATGCAAAGTAGTTTTATGAAATAGACTCCTGATGATCAAACTTCTTTACTTCACCTCTACAATAACTTCGTTTTAAGCTTTGCGAAAAAAAAAAAAAAAATTAGATATTGGCTGTAGTTATTTGTAAAAATAATTTTCATTGCATTTATCACTTGATTGTCGGAAAATTAGGAGCGAATTTTTTGAGCGGGATGACTTTTTTTGCTGTTACAGTCATAAAATGAGAGAACGGTGTGAGAGAAGACACAAACCTGGAACCATTTGGTATGTCTGAGGGCTGCCAGCGCCTGGAGACACTTGCCGCGTGAGAGAACATCCCGGTCGAACCCGCCGCTCGCAGCTTCTAGACATCAAGAAAAGGGTGTTTGACCATCGCGAGTTCACCACACGTGGGTCCCAAAATAAAAAAAGAGACCCAAACGAGGTAGTGGTGAACCGGTTGGTCAAAAATCCTTAGTCCCACACCACCTAAAATTGCTTCTTGGTATGCGACACAGTACAGTTTATGTTACATAAGTATTGGACTGGAATGTATAAGCAATATTAATTAAATAACCTTTCTACCCCAAGATTTCAATAATTTCTTAATAACTTTTATCTAATATTACAGTAATCTAATTGGATGATGATAGAATTAGTTGATTTCGTAGTAAAAAAGATATTAATGAATGAATCTGGAAGTAGAATTCCTTCTAATCTATTAAAAACAAAAATAAACAATATATGATTTGATAAAAATATTTGTCCAATAATTATCACTTTTTACCTTCAAGGTTTAAGCTGCATTTAAAAAAAAAGTTGCATATTCAAAGATTTAGTTTAATCAACATTTTTTTGGATCTTTTTTAGATAAAATATCTCAAAAATGTTACTCAAAACTAAAATTTGGTAAATAAGAAAAAGGATTAAGATATTTAAATTCAAAAAAATCATGAATTAGAGAATTAGAAATATTTGTTAATAAAACAAATAATATGTTACTGGTATTTCATTTATACCAGTTAAATAGAATTCTAAAATATATTTTAAAAAACTTACTCCTTTTTTATATTACCCTTACAAGAATTGAAATAAAATATAAACAGAAATTGGATAGAAGTGGCCAACAATGCTTTAGTAAAAACTACATTTACTGAAATGAATAAAACGTATCATGTATTAAATATCTGAATAATTTCCCTGCATAGTCTATTTTGGTTGACTATCCAATTTCTGTTAAAGACCATTTTTGTAATCTTTTCCCTGTTAAGTTTTTGTTTTTTATACTACATTTGAAAATTGCAATATAAAACTCCACAAATGGAGGAGTTATTTTAAATTATATTCAGTTACATTTTCCTTGAGCTGTTAATGAAAAAGTACGTCAATTAAGTTTTTTTTAATTCTTAAAATTTGGAATAAAACATTTGTAAAACCTGTTTTCCCACATAACATCTTATTACAAAATTAGTCAGGACTTTTTTATAGTATTTTTTTTGTAGGTAATACACACATCCCCAACTAGCCATTCATAAAAGTGTATTTGTTGTGAAATTCTCATCATCTATTGTATAGTCCAGGAGACAGTGACGATTTTCGGTATTTATTTTCCCAGTCAGCAAGCACGAATAGAGAATTGTAGGATTAGCAATTCTAAGCAAAATTCATATATATTTAGAAGGGGGATCCGATGGGCTGAGGCCGAAAATGCGTCAAAACATACGAGAACACGGCCCTTTTTTTCCATTGACAAAAATAGTTTTAGTAGTAAGAGATGTACTGAAGTTAAGTAAAAAATAGACTGATTAATCTGTATGGATAATATATTTGGCAAGTGCATAAAATACACTTTCAAACGAGTTATGTACACAATTATTTCTACGACCACAATTATTTAAAGAATGTTCCAGGTGTTTTGTATATTAAAGTGTACGCATAGGACACATAAATAAAATCTTATATCACAATGTTTCACCTAACTAGTTAGTTTATTTATAGAAATTAAACATAATAATTGAAGATATTACAGAAGAAAATAGGGAAATAAATTACATTTCCTTTTACACTTTTATATAATAATTGTTTTATTTAGAATTCACGAATCACTTATTACTCTACATTAATTATAATTATTGTTAGTTTCGTTATGTCAAATCATTTATACTAGAGGTGTGAGGAAAATACAGTGAACTGTGGAACGCCAATATCGTTGGATGCGCGTGGTAGAAATGGTCCTATAATACTGCTAAAAACATAGCTAAATTTTCATGGAAACACTGTACTTTTGACATTTGCGATACTCCGACGCATATGCATTATTGATGTAATCTCATGATTTTACAGTAATAGTTTTTGCAATTTTAGTGTGATTTTTAGGTTATTATGGTTATTCATTTTATTTGGTTCTGATCTTTTGCGCTTTTAAAAAAATTTCCCATTGCCCCGTACCATTTCAAAAACACATTTTGGCTGAATATGACATTGAAACAGAAGAAAATGCAAAAAACGAATGATTTCTACAGCGATTATAGTATGAGAAATCCAGATTTTGAGAAAGAAATTAACAGAACTTGGAAAGAAAAAAGAGAAACTCAGGCTTAGTATACAGGGTGTACCAATAAAAACTCCCAGGACGGATATTTTGGTAAGTAATAGAGATATTTTAATTCTGTAAAAACCAGTTCATAGAGCGCTAAGAGAACTTCAATTTTAGATATAAATTAATTTTAAATAGGTCAATATGTAGATGGCGCTGAGCTCAATATATTTTTTTCGATGGGAGGATCTTTCTTATATAACGCATCTTGTAAAAATGCATTTTTAAGCAGATTTTGTTTTATAAACTAATTCGATAAATCTAGCCATTTTTGATATACAGAGTGGGTCACTCAAAACAGTTTTATCCTGTTTTTCAGCATTAATCATTGGATTTTAAGAAAATGCTAAAACAGGTCGATTTTTATTCCAAAATAAAAATATTTTTACAATACAGACATCTGTCATGTGTCAACCCCCTCCCTTGCACTTCTCCAACACCTTAATTTTAAATAGGTAATGTACCATGTATGGCACATCATTGAAAAGGTAATTTAATGGAGAATTCAGAAATATTTCTGTATATTGCGTTTCTTAAATTTTTTCGCCCTCTAGCAGGATAAAAAACTACTACGTATTATAGTGTGACACTACAATGTGTAGTATATCATTAAAAAGGTAATTTTATAAGGAATTAAAATATGACTTCATTGCGATACTTTTAATTGTACCGCCCTCTATCGGGATAAAAAACTGTACGTATTATAAAGTGTGACAATTTATTTGAAAGCAAATTTAATTACTAATTCAATGCACCACATAACATTAATATAAATATCCTCCATATTGCACTTGCAATAATTTGAAAATTATTCATGCATTATTTTAAACATTATTGCTAACTTTATTTTGTTGTAAGTGCAATATGAAAATATTTATATTAATGTTATGTGGTGCATTGAATTAGTAATTAAAATGCATAATCAATTCGCAGATTAGTCCCTCAAATCAACCTCAGGCATTCAATAGTGCGATCATCGAGCACAGACACCCCGCAATTCGACATGGAAAATCCATACGAAAAGGAGAAAATACAGTGCGTTTTATGCAAACACAACATAACAGTCGATTACAAAAACGTCAGTTTATTATCACAGTTTCAATAGCCTTATACGGGAAGAATTTATGGCAGGCACATCACGGGGTTGTGCAAACAGCAACAAGAACTGGTCCAATCTGAGATTTCTAAGGCCCAGTCAGCCGGTCTTATGGCCTACTATCTTAAGGAACCTGTCTTTTTGCAAGATCCTGAATTGTTTAATGTAGAAAAACCTATTAGGCCTCATATGTTTTAGTTTATGTGTAATAACACATTTGGACAATTAGCTTTCAAATGAAGTGTCTTACTTTATAATACATTACAGGTGTTTTGTCCCGATAAAGGGCGCTAAAAATTAAAAATATCGCAATTAAGTGTCATAATTCTGACTTCCCCATAAAATTACCTTTTCAATGATGTGCCGTACATGATACATTTCTTATTTAAAATTAAGGGGTTGTAGTGGTAGAAGGGAGGGGGTTGACACATGACAGATGTCTGTATTGTAAAAATGTGTTAAATTGGGAATAAAAATCGATTTGTTTTAGCATTTTCTTATAATCCAATGATTAATGCCGAAAAACAGGATGAAACTATTTTGAGTGACCCACTCTGTATATCAAATATGGCTAAATTTATCAAATTAGTTTACAGAACAAAATCTGCTTAAAAATGCATTTCTTACAAGATGCATTAAATAAGATCCACCCATCGAAAAAAATATATTGAGCGCAGCGCCATCTACCTATTGACCTATTTAAAATTAATTAATATCTAAAACTGAAGCTCTCTTAGCTCTCTATGAACTGGCTTTTACAGAATTAAAATATCTCTATTACTTACCAAAATATCCGGCCTGTGAGTTTTTATTGGTACACCCTGTATACCACCAAATTGAAAAACTTGAAACAAAAAATGATATTAAGACAGTAAGCTAAAATGTACATTTTTGAAAAAAAAAAAAAAAAAAAAAAAAAATGCAACAAAAAACTTGGAATCATTTTGGACGGACAACAAAAGTGTAGATACTAAAAGGCAAAGGACTAATGTTCGTCAAGGCAAACGACAGCATACGAATAAATACTCTTTTGAGAAAAAATGCAAGCATGTTACAGTGTGCAAATTCTTTTTGTGCATGCTTTCTATTTCGCAACAGATGATAGATACTGCTATTCTAAAAAAAAAGAGATGGTTATTTCGTATCACCAGATAAAAAAAAAAGGAAGCATGTTCCTATCAATAAAATACCAGAAGAAGTAAAAAATAATATTCGTAGCCACATATTAAAATTTCCAACTTATACCTCACACTACTCTCGCGAAAGGACTAAGAAAAAATACTGTCATGAAATTCCTAAGTCCGACTCTGTCTAAGCACGCGGCCTTCACGTCTGGGCAGCCGATTCCTGCTAGAGGCATGGATTGTTCTTCAAGCTGGTAACGAAAATGTATTATTGGGTCATAACTGGTGTTTTCATCATAAGGAAATGAATGAAACAACTTTTTTAAAATGACTCGAGAATCAATTAAGAGTTTAACTGAGCCTTCAATGATTGTTATAGACAATGCTTCCTGTCACCGCATGTTACTTTTTAAAAGATTATGATGTGCATTTATTTTATCATTGACGTGTATTGCCAACAGCTCTAATAATTAACTACAAAACGAAGTAAAATTAACTGCATTTATCATAAAAAATTGTTCTGTATTAATATTATTTTTAAAAAAGTGTGTGTGAAAAATCTCCTCAGCTCTCATAATCCAATGCACACAGGGCCACAAAATTTCATAAATGAAAAATACAGCCTAAAAGGGCACGTATCAGGTATCTCCATCATTCATGAAATCACCCCCTAGCATTCTTTTTTCACATCATTGGAGATAAACAATAATTTAATATAGCCAATCTGTAAATTCAATAAATGGTTTTGGAAAATGACACATCGTCTTTTGACATTCTACTCAATATTGACTAAACTAGCAGTTTAATCAAGACAAAATCTTGTTTCATGAAAAGATTACAAAAACTGTTTAGCTTTAAATGTCAAATGTAATCAAAAATACCCTAAAACACATGAATCAGCTTAAACCCTGCACAGTACTGTACAACCTGCTCACGTATCTCACCCTACACCTTTTCTTCTGATTCTCTTTACCTTGCAGTTCTCTGATGACGGGGCTAGTGAATTGAACCAAAATATTGCCGTCCTTTCCCGCCACATTCAAGCCGGCTTCTGGAGCATTTATGGATACTCTGTATGCTTCTTCGGGAGCGATTTGTTTAAGGGCGGAAGGAAGAAGTTCAACGACTTTTTTCAAGAGCGTGAGAGTGGGTTTATCTGCACAGAGAACGACAAGTTGAACGTTAGTCTCGCCACGGAGAATGAGACCTTTGGAGAGATGTCCTACGCGCATTACTCCCTTCAAGAGTCTGGCAGTATCACCCTGATGAAAAGTAAATCTAAAAATAAGAAGAAAAATGTTTCGTCAATTGTTTCTGTTGTTGATAAAAATTTGTGGTTTCTTTTTAGGTTAAAGAAATACTTTTCTCTCTCACATCAATACATAAAAATTCTGAAGATGTATGTTTGTTATTCTTGGCAAATATTTTTTTTATTAGGTTCAAAATAGTTGAAGAAAATGTCCTATAATGAAGACAGTTCTGGACAATTTTTGTTCCTCGTATAGCTTCTTAGGATAGTTTTCTTCTCAACCAACGATATTTTTAGTGTTTAAATAAGAAACTTACAGTTGATTATCACGTCCGTCTTCCTTCTGTGGCGCATCTTGCCCTTTAGATTCAGGTTCAGTTTTGATAGTAGCGACAGCAGCAGTTGCATCGGCCCCCTTCTTTCCGGGAAGTTTTAAATCTGCTATTTGATCGGATACGATTTTAAGAGCTCTTTCCGTATTAGAAACGATGTTTTGAATGGCCTGGAGTTCTTCATCTTTAGGATAAATTTCACTGTGTCTAGCCAATACGTGCTTGTCATCACTAGACTCGGTCCTGCGTGGCATACCTTGGAAGAACTGTAAAACAAATTCTAATGATTATCTATCAAGTTATAATATGGTTATTTATAGCAATATTTACTATTAGTTTTGTTTATAACAACATTGTTATGAGTGTGGGGTAAATTGGGTATTTTAAAGCTGCTATAATTCACGTTTCTGATATTTTATGTAGGTAAAAAAAGAAGTATTTGGTTTCTGATGGGCTATGAGTCATTATTATGTAATCGTCTCAACTTATATTTTCAAACTAATAGGACACAATGTTGCTAAACCGCATTAGAATGCATAAACTGCGAACTAGTGGATTTATGTCCAATAGTTAAGATGGCGCCGACTGAACCGCACGCGCAAAATGCTGATGAGTGTAATTATTGTAAAAAATCAGTAACTGCTAGTGTAAAATGTGAAATCTGTGACTTGAAATATCATCCATCGTGTGCACAAAGAATAAATGCTATCATAAGATGCTGTAAACCAAGTTATTGTAAAGGTGGTGTATTTTGCATTGATGCTTACAACTTTTTAAAATTATTAGTAGAAGAACAAAAACTAGTAAACCAATTAATGAGTGAAAAAATAGAAATCTTAAAAGTTGAACTTAAAAATGAAAAAACGAAATATTCTGATCTGCAAACACAATATAACGAAATAAATCCTAAATTTATAAGAGCTGACAATAAAAATCAAAACTTATCTATCAGTGATGTGATAATAAAAGACCAGTTTTTATAGAAAAACCAAAACAAACAAAAACTGAAAGTGTGAGTATACCTGTTGGAAATAAACATTTGATACCAAACAAAAACGATTATAGGAATGCCCCTGTACAGGATGACTCATTCCTCCAAAGGAAACGAGTTACATTAGAACTAATGAAAATTCAAAAACTAATGAAATAATAAATCTAGCAGATGATACTAATAAGGGGAGTCATGAGAATGATTATATCACAGTAACAAGACGACAGAGGAGAAAAAACAAAACAATTATAGGAAGTGGAGAAGGTGATGATGAATTTAAAGGAAGGGAAAAATCAAACAAAAAAATTTGGACCTTCGTATCTAGAGTATCAGACACTGTAAATGAAGAGAATGTTAAGAAATACGAGGTAAGCGCCAATAATTCCCAGCCTGACATAGTTGCAGATATTTTATCAGGATAAAAGTTTAACATTTTATAACTACAAACCTTAGTAGGCTGTAGTAACAAAATAAGCGACTTATGTCAAATAGTTTTTAATCGTCAGCATTTTGAACTAAAGTATCTCCGAAAATGTCTCAGGTGACGAAAATTGAGTACAGAGCGGTTATTAAATTTTTAACAAAAGAAGGGCTTACACCTAAAGTTATTAAAGAAAGACTCGATGGCGTATATGGCCAAAGTTCCCCTTCCTATTCGGTAGTAAAGTAATGGGCAAAACGTTTTCGCATGGGTCAGGAATCCCTTGAAGATGACGAAAGACCTGGACGGCTAGTAGAGGTAAAACCTGGTGCTAAGTGACCGACGCCGCGACGTTTGAAAGTCAAGGAAATGGCAGAAATTACCAAGCTTTCTGATACCACTGTTCACCGAATCCTCCATGATCATTTGGGTATACATAAGGTTAGTGCAAGATGGGTGCCCAAACACCTTTCGGCGATTCAGAAGCAACGTCGTGTCGAGTGTGCTCGATCGTTTTTGGAACTGTGTGGAGATGATCCGAACCCAGTGTTGGAAACAATAATCACTGGAGATGAAACTATGGTTCTTTATTATGATCCTCTGTCGAAAAGGGAATCAATGGAGTGGCGTCGTAAGGGTGAAGCCCCCCCACGAAAATTTAGAGTCTGCCAATCAACGAAAAAGGTGATGGCTACGATCTTTTGGGATTGTGAAGGAATCCTTCTGATTGATTTTAAAGAGACAAATACCACTGTTAATGGCATATATTATGCTGCATTACTTCATAAGTTGCGGGAATGTATTCGGGAAAAACGTCGAGGAAAATTAACCAGAGGCGTGCGGTTGTTGCACGACAATGCGCCCGTTCATACTGCTGGCGTTACACAAGCTGCCATCCTAGATTGTGGGTTTCAAAATAGAAATCACCCTCCTTATAGTCCAGATATGGCTCCCAGCGATTATTATTTGTTTAGTTATTTAAAAAGGACCTTCGAGTTACAAGAAGCTGTTTTAGCCCATTTTGAGGATAAACCGAAAGAATATATTTTTTAAAGGGATTGAATTGTTAATTAAACGTTGTAAGAAGTGCATTGAGGTTAAAGAAGATTACATTGAAAAATAATAATAACTTGTTGTACTTTGCCTTCTTCATTGTCAGAATAGTGCTAAGTCAAGTAAGGAAGATTGCTATAATACAGGGTACAAGTTGTCTAATCTAAATACTAGTAGAACAAGAACAATAAAGAACAAAAGTTATCAAAAATACAAAAGGTTTGTTTTTAAGATGCACAATTTTAAATCAAATACCAAATACATCTTATATTTAATTTTTTTTTAATGCTTTTAGTAGATATATATTAGCTATTAAAGAATTTGCAATTATTTGGACACCCTGTACAATATAATTTTATAATATAATTGTTTTAATGCTCTGTATCACAGTAGACATATGTAATGAACTAAATATAATGCAAACATCTCTTTTAAAGTCAAATACATTTATTAATTTGTATTGCAGGTTAACGCAGTTTATGTCGCTCACCTATCTTCGTCCAGAAATGTCACTAGAGTCTGGGAGACCGTGTATGGCATTTATTTTATAGTTTTACTTTAGAAAATGTTTTTATCGTAATAAAAAAATAATTTCACAATTACACTCTTTTATTTTACATTTTTGCAAGACGGAAAAGTAAAATACGGCCCTGCTCAATTTTAGCGTCCACCTGCTTCTGTTTACATCAGGCGTAAATTAAATTTGAATAGACTTTACCTTCAGTCACGTCATTAAGTCGATTTTCGCTTCAAATCATTTAAAATATGATAGGTAGCAGGCGACTCCGTGACTTATTCACAAACGTATGATTGTAATTGTAATAACACGCGTGGCATACGACATCGTGCCTTATTGTCCTTCGTTTGGCTATACTAAATCACGAAAGGATATCATTATGATTCTTTTTCTTTCATATATTTTTTATTATTTGGTATATCTATCTTGACAACGCGACTTGTTATTGAACGCGCGAAATTTAGAGGTCGTGATCACGTCACGCTTTTCAATCACTGATATCAAAAAGTAACAGTAATGATTCACAACGTGATTGAAAAATCACGATATTGTCCATCACTAGTCAACATCTACTGCAATTGCAGCTTGCCTAGAGTTTATATATCAAGCACTCAATGATAAAAAACATATTTTGGGACTCTTCTATGACCTTAGCCGTGCATTTGATATGGTGGATCATAATCTTTTATTATTGAAGATGAATGGGTTAGGAATACGAGGGAAACCTTATGAATGAATACAGTCTTACTTAATAAATCGAACTCAAGTAATTGTAACAAATAATCTAAAATCTGATCCTCTTCCATGTACAATAGGAGTTCCCCAAGGTTCAATTTTGGGCCCACTTCTTTTTATAGTTTTTATAAGTGATATAAGTAATTTTTGTTTAAGCTCTCAACAAATAGTTCAATATGCCGATAATACCAATATTGTAATGGCAGATGATAAAATTGAACAGGTCACTCAAAGTAGCAACGAGGCATCTCGTGAGTTTAACCAGTATTGTAAAGATAACGGTCTGGCATTAAATGTAACAAAAACAAACTTCATGCAATTTCTACCCAAAAACATATTACCAGATTACGAACCCTACTTGCACGTTGACGGAAAAACTATTCAAAGCGTTAATGACATAAAATTTTTAGGAACAATATTATATCCCAAATTAAATTGGGAAGCTCATATAAAAATGGTAACTTCAAAATTAAGTACTTGTTGTTATATCATCAAAAATTTAAGGGAGACACTATCTTTTGATACTTTAAAACTATGCTATTTTGGTTTAGTTTATTTAACTCTACAATATGGGTTAATATTTTGGGGTTCTTTACCATACTTTGAAAGAGCTTTTGTATCTCAAAAGAAGGTTCTGAGAGCCATGTATAAGGTGACACCAACAACATTATGTAAAGAACTTTTCAAGAAAACGCAAATTTTAACACTACCTTCCCTTTTTATTTTTCAACTAATTTTACATATAAAAGATATTTAAGAAAAATAAAGACCTGCACTCATATGATACTAGATTAAAATTTAACATCCATCAATCTTTTTCACGATTACAAATAAGTCAGCATTCACCAAAATATATTGGGATTAAGTGATACAATAAGTTCAGTAACATATTAGAAGATATCATCAAATTAGTCATAATGATTTAAGAAAACATCTTAATGATTTTCTTGTAAATAATGTATTTTATAATATAGAAGATTTTTTTGAACTTTTAAACTAATCTTAACATGAATTGTCTATTATATATATATTTTATTTTTTAATGTATTTTACTTAACACTTTTTTGACTAGTTCGATAGGATTTTATATTATGTACCTAGTGTCTTTGTATAGTGTATAATTCTCAAAGATGAATAAATTCTATTTTTATTTTAGACAACAATTTTCATAAAAATAAAAGATTGAACTATTTTTGCAACTATATTATTGGCAAACCGCCACAACGTTATGTTGGTTTTAGACTAGTATCTATCCCTTTGATTGTTTATAAAAATATTACATTCTAAGTTTAACGAAAAATTAATGCACATTTACAGAAATTTGCTAAAATGTCCAATATTTCTTTTTTGGTTTCATTAATATTTCTTTCAGTTTGAATTTCATAACAAACGACAATAATTGTATTAGTTTTTAAACAATAATTAAAACGAAACTTTTGGACTTACGTGTGCCGGTCCAGGGAAAGGTCTTCCTCTGCCGTAATGCCCACCCATACCCATGTATTCGTCTCCAAAATTTCTACCATCCCAGAATCCTTCTTCGCTTTGACGCCTAGCCCAAAACTCCTCTCGCATGGCCTAAAGCATTTCAAAAAGTCAAAATTTAGAAGGCAACCACAGAGAAAAAGATAAAAACATTGAAATGTAAAATATTGTTAAATTCGGTAGGAGTTGCATAAAAAAATATGATCCAACTTTTTAAAAATCGTAAATAATTTCGTAATTAGTTTTGTCTAGTTTCGCCAAGAATCTTTTTTTTTTTAATAAAATAATAGTGTCAAAAGGATTTACGAGTTTTTGATATAAATACCAAATAATTAACAAATATTATAATTTTTAAGTAGTTTTTATTATTTATTTGTACTTACAGCTCGTCTCATTTTTTCTTCTTGTATTTTTCTTTGTCTTAAAGATGGTTTAACGTCAACAACTAGATTAGGATCGACTTTCTTTTTGTATTGAAGTCTATGTCTTCTGCCTTTCATGTGCATTTCTTTTGCATTGGGGTCACTAAATCTACATTCGCATAATTTACAATTGAAGCTAACAACCTGAAATAGAAAAGCAATTATAGAAAATTGAAAATTCTGAAAGAAAAATACAATAGAAAGCATCGTTGCCATCAGTTAATATACTTAAAATTAGTATTTAGAGCTCCATAAACACTGATTCAGTGTAGAGCTATTTAGAAAGAGTAAAACCAAATTTGGTAGATTTTCACTTTTATTTTAAAAATAAAAATTTAAAAAAAAAACACTAACATGACATATGTTTCGAAGTACAACTTCTTTTTCAAATGTGACTATTTACAATTCGGTATCCAATATATATACGAAATAATTTAACAAAACAAAGTACTTAAGAAAACATCAATAACATTACAAAATAAAATAACTATTTAAAGTAAATAAGGGTACTTAGGTAATTATAATATCCATCAAATAACAATAAGATAAGCCATTACCGGGATTATCTCACAGAAAACTGGGAAAGAGATTTAATAAGGGTGAATTATTAATATCTAATTGATCATTTAGTAAGTTATCTGAATTTTTAAATCTATTTATTTCAAGTGTTTCTAAATGGTTTAATTTAAGGCTCTTATTTTCTACATGTAAAATTTCAAAGTTGACTGTAAAAGAATGATTTTCAGCTAAAATATGATTTGAGTAAGTAGAATTATTTTTGTTTTTTGTATAGCTATTATAGTGTTCGGAATAGCGTTTTTTGAAAGTACGGCCTGTTTGACCAATATACAATTTTGGACAACTACCACAATTTAATTTATATACCCCCGATTTATTTTTAGGATTAATTTTACCCTTATTGTTTTTAATATACTTCCCAAGCGTATTATTGGTTTTAAAAGCTACGTTAATATTTTGGTTTTTTAAATATGATGATACCTTTTCACTAGGAGCTCCTATATATGTAAGACTCTTATATCTGCAATTTGGATCTTTAATTATGGGATAAACTTGTTGAATAGCCTGTTTAAAAAGTTTTTTCTCTAAAATGTTGTCTACTAACTTTGAATTAAAATTATTATTTACTGCGATTTGTTTAATGATATTTAATTCTTTAGTGAAGTTCTCTTTGGTAAGGGGAATATTAACTAATCTATGGATCATACTATTGTATGCTGCCAGCTTTTGTTTGTATGGATGAGATGAACTATTATTTATTGTAATATCCGTATGTGATGGCTTATGAAATATCCCAAAACTATGGCCTTTATTATTTTTAATAATATTTAAGTCTAAAAAATTAATTGAATTATCCTTCTCTGTTTCCATAGTAAATTTAATATTAGGGTGTATAGTATTGATAAAAACTAATAAAGAATTTAACTGTCTACTAGTACCAGTAAAAGCAGTCAATATATCATCAACATATCTATGCCAATACAGACAATGTTTACTTAAATTATTGCTATGAATTTTATTTTCTATATTATCCATAAATATTTGTGCAAGCAACGGGCTTAATGGGTTCCCCATAATAAGACCTTCATTTGCTTTAAAAGATTCATATAATACTTTGTCTCACAAATATCATACTGCAAATATAATTAAAACTAAATTTTTACGTAATAACAATTCAAATCAAGACAGTAAGTTAATTAAAACTATAAAGGATAAAACAAAACAGGATGATATCATTTTCACTCGTGCCGATAAGGGAAATACAGTAATTGCTATTAATAATATAGATTATATTGACAAAACTCTTTCATTTTTACAAGCAAGCAATAATTATAGCATACTCAAATTTGATCCAACAGATAAATATCAAAAAGAACTAAAACGTAATATTCAGGATTCAACAGCAATTTTTGATTCTAGAGAAAAATTCAAACTAATACAAATGAACCCTCAACCACCACAACTTTATTCTTTAATAAAATTACACAAAGAGAACTATCCTATTAGACCAGTTGTGTCATTTGTCACGGCTCCATCAGTTAAACTTTCACACACATTAATTAAACTTATACAAGAAAACTGCAAATTCAATTCAAAGTATAGTATAAAAAATTCTTATGAATTAACAGAAAAATTAAAAAAAACATTAAATTACCTAGTAACACAAAATTAGTATCGTTCGATGTAACAAACTTATTTCCTAGTATACCTCCTAAAGAAACAGTGAAGCTAGTAGAAAACTTATTAGATCGTAATCAAGTCAATATTATAATCAAAGAAGAAATCCTAAATTTGTTAAACATTTGCCTAAAACAAAATTATTTTCAATTTCAAAATAACATCTACTTAGCAAATGAAGGTCTTATTATGGGGAACCCATTAAGCCCGTTGCTTGCAGAAATATTTATGGATAATATAGAAAATAAAATTCATATCAATAATTTAAGTAAACATTGTCTGTATTGGCATAGATATGTTGATGATATATTGACTGCTTTTACTGGTACTAGTAGACAGTTAAATTCTTTATTAGTTTTTATCAATACTATACACCCTAATATTAAATTTACTATGGAAACAGAGAAGGATAATTCAATTAATTTTTTAGACTTAAATATTATTAAAAATAATAAAGGCCATAGTTTTGGGATATTTCATAAGCCATCACATACGGATATTACAATAAATAATAGTTCATCTCATCCATACAAACAAAAGCTGGCAGCATACAACAGTATGATCCATAGATTAGTTAATATTCCCCTTACCAAAGAGAACTTCACTAAAGAATTAAATATCATTAAACAAATCGCAGTAAATAATAATTTTAATTCAAAGTTAGTAGACAACATTTTAGAGAAAAAACTTTTTAAACAGGCTATTCAACAAGTTTATCCCATAATTAAAGATCCAAATTGCAGATATAAGAGTCTTACATATATAGGAGCTCCTAGTGAAAAGGTATCATCATATTTAAAAAACCAAAATATTAACGTAGCTTTTAAAACCAATAATACGCTTGGGAAGTATATTAAAAACAATAAGGGTAAAATTAATCCTAATAATAAATCGGGGGTATATAAATTAAATTGTGGTAGTTGTCCAAAATTGTATATTGGTCAAACAGGCCGTACTTTCAAAAAACGCTATTCCGAACATTATAATAGCTATACAAAAAACAAAAATAATTCTACTTACTCAAATCATATTTTAGCTGAAAATCATTCTTTTACAGACAACTTTGAAATTTTACATGTAGAAAATAAGAGCCTTAAATTAAACCATTTAGAAACACTTGAAATAAATAGATTTAAAAATTCAGATAACTTACTAAATGATCAATTAGATATTAATAATTCACCCTTATTAAATCTCTTTCCCAGTTTTCTGTGAGATAATCCCGGTAATGGGTTATCTTATTGTTATTTGATGGATATTATAATTACCTAAGTACCCTTATTTACTTTAAATAGTTAGTTTATTTTGTAATGTTATTGATGTTTTCTTAAGTACTTTGTTTTGTTAAATTATTTCGTATATATATTGGATACCGAATTGTAAATAGTCACATTTGAAAAAGAAGTTGTACTTCGAAACATATGTCATGTTAGTGTTTTTTTTTTAAATTTTTAAAATAAAAGTGTGAAAATCTACCAAATTTGGTTTTACTCTTTCAAAATTAAATGGATTTTCATCAAGTAAAGGCCGAAACAATAAATAATTTTAGAGCTATTTAACCCATAGCCCAGCATATAAACCCCACAAAAAATGTTCTGTCCATTTCAAATTTAGGGACTCTTCAGATCATTCAACTATATTGCCCAAATAAAGTTATAAGCAAATTTCATGAGTGGACAAATGTTTTCTTTTATTTCCCATCTTTTATTCAGAAAAGAGACAAATTAATATTTACAAAAAAAATTTTTAACTTCAGATTCCAAAAACAGCTCTTTTTGAGGTTTTTTAGAAAATCACGTACCACATTGAAAATATTGGGAATAAAGTTGAGTGTGCATCTTTCCTTATATCTGTATACAGATAGAAAAGTAAAAATACATAATTTGAATATATTGCTGTATTGCTTGTATAATTCAAATTAGGTATTTTTTTCATAGGGAAATACACCTACGGTTAGGTTAGATAGATCTAACTAATTTAGATCTAACTAATTAGTTAGATCTATCTAACCTAACCGTAGGTGTATTTCCCTATGAAAAAAATACCTAATTTGAATTAGTTAGATCTATCTAACCTAACCGTAGGTGTATTTCCCTACGGTTAGGTTAGATAGATCTAAATTAGTTAGATCTATCTAACCTAACTGTAGGTGTATTTCCCTACGGTTAGGTTAGATAGATCTAAATTAGTTAGATCTATCTAACCTAACCGTAGGTGTATTTCCCTATGAAAAAAATACCTAATTTGAATTATACAAGCAATGAAAAAAATACCTAAATTAGTTAGATCTATCTAACCTAACCGTAGGTGTATTTCCCTATGAAAAAAATACCTAATTTGAATTAAATTAGGTATTACCTACGGTTAGGTTAGATAGATCTAACTAATTTAGATCTATCTAACCTAACCGTAGGTGTATTTCCCTATGAAAAAAATACCTAATTTGAATTGCAGTCCACCGTCCGACCAGATTTTACGTCTAGTCGGTGTATATATACCGGGTGTTTAAATTAAAGTTTTACAATTAAATACCGGCGAAAATACGTTTTTTAATAAAAAAAATCTGATGTGTCGCAGATGTTCCGTATCGGTATACAGATAGTGAAGTAAAAAGTAAAATTGTTCCCCCGAAAGCCCTACAAAATTTCAACCTGATCCAACAAGCCATTTCATTGTTTCATGCGGGTGAATTTTTGAAGAAATTGAAGGATCGCGTTTTTCTATCCATGATATTCATCAGGATTTTGTGCTAATTGTTGGTTGGAAATTTTTTTTATCGCAAGATCCATAAACTAGACACTTCAAGCTTCAAATTGCTTTTCTTATCATTCACGTACGACCATTTTTACCAAAGATACAGCCACTCGAAAAATCGCAAAAAAAAATCGAGATTTTTTTGGATCCCTTAATTTTTTCCTCTATACTCTGTTTTTAAACTAGGAGGAGCGATTTGAATATTTTCCTCAAAAGTTACTTATTTTTCATGTACTTTAAGGATATGTAAAAAAATGGGGTTCCAATTAAAAAAAAAGTCCACCTCGATATGGCCATATTATGGTCAACTATAAAAAAATCAATTTAGCCAAAATGTTTCCCCCAAAAAACTATAAAACTTTTGCCTGAAACTTTTTTTCTAAAATGCATATTTTCGGCGGTATTTAACTGTAACATTTTAATTTGAACACCCGGTATATGCATAACCTTATGAGTGTTCTAAACATTTACCTTTCCGTCGTCGCTTTTTATCTCTTCAATATAATCTTGTCCAACCGGTACTACGTCAGCTTCAGGAGTATCATCTTCGTCATCCTTTGAAATGTCGCCATTTCCAGAGATAGCACCAAGACCCGCGCCTTGGACGAAATTTATTTTTGAATCGCCCGCTCCGGTTTTCTTTGCTCCACCAATCACTTCCGGTTCTTGAGGAGGAATCGGCTTGCCTAATTTCGTATGAAGAAGAACGACCTTCTGATGCTTGGCGCCGCGTATATGTGCAGCATAGGCATCATTACCTATCATAATCATTAACAATTAACAATCAATAATCAATAATCAATAATCAATAATCAATAATCAATAATCAATAATCAATAATCAATAATCAATAATCAATAATCAATAATCAATAATCAATAATCAATAATCAATAATCAATAATCAATAATCAATAATCAATAATCAATAATCAATAATCAATAATCAATAATCAATAATCAATAATCAATAATCAATAATCAATAATCAATAATCAATAATCAATAATCAATAATCAATAATCAATAATCAATAATCAATAATCAATAATCAATAATCAATAATCAATAATCAATAATCAATAATCAATAATCAATAATCAATAATCAATAATCAATAATCAATAATCAATAATCAATAATCAATAATCAATAATCAATAATCAATAATCAATAATCAATAATCAATAATCAATAATCAATAATCAATAATCAATAATCAATAATCAATAATCAATAATCAATAATCAATAATCAATAATCAATAATCAATAATCAATAATCAATAATCAATAATCAATAATCAATAATCAATAATCAATAATCAATAATCAATAATCAATAATCAATAATCAATAATCAATAATCAATAATCAATAATCAATAATCAATAATCAATAATCAATAATCAATAATCAATAATCAATAATCAATAATCAATAATCAATAATCAATAATCAATAATCAATAATCAATAATCAATAATCAATAATCAATAATCAATAATCAATAATCAATAATCAATAATCAATAATCAATAATCAATAATCAATAATCAATAATCAATAATCAATAATCAATAATCAATAATCAATAATCAATAATCAATAATCAATAATCAATAATCAATAATCAATAATCAATAATCAATAATCAATAATCAATAATCAATAATCAATAATCAATAATCAATAATCAATAATCAATAATCAATAATCAATAATCAATAATCAATAATCAATATTCAATAATCAATAATCAATAATCAATAATCAATAATCAATAATCAATAATCAATAATCAATAATCAATAATCAATAATCATCAATAATCAATAAATAATCAATAAATAATCAATAATTAATAATTATAATGACGTGTTTCAGGGTTTTTGGATTTTCATATTTTAAGGGGGAAAGGGGAGAAAGGGGTGAAAATTTTGTATGGGGGGAGGGTATCAGTTTTTTTAAAGGTAGGAACTTGAAAATTGGAATTGTAGGTTCTCATCATAAATAAATAATGAAGTGTTTCATGGTTTTCGGATTTTCACATTTTAAGGGGGGGAAACGGGGGTGAAAATTAATAAAAATTATTAAAAAATAACAACAATTAATAAAGTTTTTAAAATTAATAAAAATTAATAATAATTAATTAAAATTATTAAAAATTAATAAAAATTATTAAAAATTAATAAAAATTAATAAAAATTATTAAAAATTAATAAAAATAAACAAAAATTAATAAAAATTAATAAAAATTAATGAAAATTATTAAAAATTAGTAATAATAAAAATTATTAAAAAGTAATAAAAATTAATAAAAATGAATACAAATGAGTAAAAATTAAAAAAAAAAAAAAAATAATAAATATGAATAAATATAAAAAAATTAATAAATATGAATAAATATAAAAAAATTAATAAATATGAATAAATATAAAAAAATGAATGAAAATCAATAAAACTAATAAAAATTAATAAAAAAGGAAGTCATGTATTTTTTTATATTAATAACACAACTATATGCGAGCAAAGTTGCGAGCAAAGCCGCGAGCAATAGCTAGTAAATAATAAATAAAAAAAAATTAATTAAAAAATAAGTAAAAATAGCTAGATTAATAAAAATTAATAAAAAAATTAATTCAAAATAATAAAAATTAATAAAACAACGTACCTGTACAAGTTACATCACACAACTGGCATCTAAGAGAATTGCCAGCTCTGTTTTGGCTAGTGACAGCAACAGACGCTGCCATTTTTGAAGCGGCTTCGCGTTTTTTATGCTTTTGTCCTTCCAAATGTTCTTGATATGTTTGTGGGCCAGCGCAACTGAAATTTTTAATTTAAATTATTTATTTATAGTAAAACATCTACAGAAACAGTATTAAAACACGTTATTTGTAAACAGGTTGTTGTATAGCAAGGGCAGAAGTTAGGAAGGCTTTTGCCAGTTCTCCCACTTTATACACATAAATTGACAAATTTGCGGCGGATCTAACCGAAGTGGACGCGATACATTGGCGTACAAAATTATTATATAGATGTTAATAACAATTTCGAGTAAATTATTTAATAAATTGTGAGCTGTTGAAATTTTTTAGAATTATGATTTGGATTTTTAAAATACATGTATAATAATTATTTATAGTCCATAAATACATGCGATTTTCCGGTTCCGCCGGTAACAATTTAAAATTACGATATGAAACGACACTGTCAGGTAAATATTACTACGAAATTTTCGAAGTCGTCTGACATGGTCTGATGTTTACCTCCTATCTACCTACCAAAAGCCTTTCCAATTTTTGCCTCTGCTATAATTTCAGTGTTTATAAATAATCTACCTGTTGGAAATAACAGGTTGTCAATTATAACCACAAAAAAAAAACGACAAAATAAATACATAAAAGTAAAGCAAAACAATTTTCATTTTCACTCTAATTGAAGAGTGGAAATTACAAAGGTGTTAAATGTCTATTTTTATTTTGAGTTTTTTTCTTTAAAAACGATCTACGTGCCATTGCCACAAAAGATGGCGGTTTTGTGGCAAGTCTAGCGCTTTTTCCTGCTAGGGGAGACCGGGGTTAGTTGGAACATTACATATGTTGAAACATTCCAAATATTTCCTAAATGAATTGACTTGGCAACGTCGCATTTTTATGTATGATAGAGTAATAAAACAGCATTTCTAATGCAAAACTTAGTACGGTCATTTTAAATATGTTTACAGAATAATCTAAATATTTCCTAAAATTGTAATAAATGTACCTGAGCTATTACAAGTTTTGGGTCTTTTATTGGTCCTTTATAAACATAAGCTGTACAGAACAATAGAAAAAGGTTTGGACAGGCCAAAAGCCCTGTGTATTAAAGATTACATAGCCGTATCTTAAGATTATTTTCAGTAAGTACCTATTTGGCAATTTTGTTTTATTTTAATTCCAAGAATTTCTTACAGTAATCGAATTATAAGTAGATAAATACATTCCCAACAAATTTCACCAAAAATGCGATTATAGGTTCTCCATTTAGTAAGGAGGTCCAAGTTGTGTATTCTTGACAGTTTACTAAATGTCGTTTAGTTGCAACTTGCAAGGTGCAGTGTGAATTCTAGTGTGATCATGGAAAATTTGGAAGGGCCGCGTAAACGACAAAAAATCGGCCCTTTAAAAGTTAATGAAGAAACATTAATATTTAATTGTTTTAAATCATTTACAGACAAACATTTATGTAAAAGTGTTGATGACACAGTGAAATTAGTTAGTAGTACGCTTGGTGTTGGGAAATCTACGATTTACAGAGTTGATAAAGAAGAGAAATGTGGTGAGTTTCAAACAGCACGTAAAACTCCAGAAAAACCAAAATTTCAATTAGAAAATCTTTTGAAAGAAAGACTTCGAAGGAAAGTGCATGCGTTCTTCTTTAGAAAAGAATTTCCGACAGTAGACAAAGTTCTTGCCACGGTTCGAGATAATAAGGATTACCCTGAAATGAGGCAAAGCACACTATGGAAACTTTTAAAAGAAATAAAGTCTATTTTAATAGAAAGAAGCGATATTGTAATATGGAGAAGAAATTACCTAAAGACTATAAAAGAAATGAGAAACCAAAGAAGAAATATATTTTATTTAGATGAAACATGGATCAACGAGGGACATAAACCAAATAAATTTTGGCAAGATGAAACTTTTACAAGTCGAAGACAGGCTTTTTTAAATAATTTATCTACTGGTTTAAATCCACCATCAGGAAAGGGGCGCAGACTAATAATAGTACACATCGGTAGTTCAAACGGTTTTGAATCTACTCGTACCAGTGATTACCATGAGGACATGAATGCTGATGTCTTTAAAGAGTGGTTCGAACAAATTATAGATCTTCTTCTTCAGAACTGTATAATAGTAATGGATAATAGTAATTATCACTCGAGACTTATAGAAAAAATGCCCACAACCAAGTGGTTAAAAAAAGATTTACAGAATTGGCTAAATTCAAAGAATATTAAGTTCCATCCTCGTTCTGTGAGAAAAAAACTGTATCATTTGTGTTCCCTTCATAAAGAGAAATTAAAAAAATATGAAATTGATGAAATTGCAAAAAATCGTGGGATGACGGTGGTTAGATCACCACCATATCATTGCGAAGTAAACCCGATTGAACTGATATGGGCACAGATAAAGGGAGAAGTTTCAAGAAAAAATAATTCTTTTAAAATGAGTGATGTTAAACAGTTGTTTTTGGAGGCTGTAAATAATGTGAAGCCTGAAAACTGGGAAAAGGCAGTAAATCATACGATTAAAGAAGAAGAGAAAATGTGGAAGTTGGACAATATTACTGATGAAATGATCGAGCCACTCATTGTAAATATTGGTTGCGACAGTTCATCTTCTGATTTCGATTTGTAGGTAAGAAGTAGTTTTTATATTAAAATTATTATTTATGAACGTAATGTTGTTTAAAAGTCAAAGTTTAACCCTTATACCTACATAACCGGTTTGACACAATGTTCTTAACATACCTTGTGGAAAAATAAAACATTTTAGAAAAAATTGCACTTTTTACCTTCAGCTGTTTAGAAGTTATAAGCAGGTTAATTAGGTGAAAATATAAGTGTATACTCGAGGAATAACTTCAAAAAATATTTTAACTGTCTACTAAAAGAAGTGGTACGCCTATGGATTACGAACGCTTTATTATTTTAATACTCTCTCATAAATAAAAATAGACTATAGAGTTTCGAGAAAACGTTGTTCAAAGGTTTAAATTTAAATAAAGAATCAGTAAAAGCTTCAAAACAGTTCAATAAAAAATAACACCAATAAAAAAAAGGTATTCATAAAGTATAAACTAAGAATCTATCGATTGGTAACAAAAAAAATATAACAACGTCACTTAGTTTATTCTGGCTATCGACATACATACAGATCATAATATTCAATGTCTGTGTCACTATTTCCAATGGGAGGCTCGTGTACCGAGTATTTAACATTATTGGATACGGGTAGTTTGTGACAATAATGGTGTTGCGCCTGATTTGGCATTACTAATGTCTTGCACTTTCTTGTAAATATTTTCAGAGCTTCTTACCCTTTCAGGCATCTCTCTGCTGAGGTGTTTCAAGCAATGTGAAAAGCTAGTTTTTTTTTTTTTCGATTATTTAATAAGTGATTCTGGTCGTTTCAATGGGCAAACAATATAGAGACGTCAGCATTCCTTCTAGTTACAGCATGCCCAATTTACTCGTTACAGCTTAACCAATCAATCATTGACCACAGCGATTCAAGCATCACGTGTTATCATCTATTGGTTTTTTTAAAGGTTAGCTGTATCGTGGAAAGAAAGGATGACGTAATAACCTTGTCGATTACGGACCAATAGAGAAGGTCTAGAGACAGCTTTAGACACAACAAAACAAATGGCTTGGGCAAAATGTTGAAGTATTTCAACAAATAAATTCAACAAAATTAAGTATTCTGGCCTTTATCTTGTTTTAGTAGAAACACTATTAGCAAAAATAAGTTATATGTTTCTTATCAGGTTTTGGGTAACACAATATTAGTATTGAACACAATGTTGTAAATATTTTTTGGTATAAATGCCACTTATTTTGTTTGTGCATACTGTGAATGTATTAATATGAAGTTAGTTTTTATTGACCCATCCGTTTATTATGAATATAGACTTCGTTCACACTTGTCTTGTTTAGGTTGTATATAATTTGAACTATTTTGAACACGAAAGTGTACTTAACTAGAAAATGCAGAAAGTGGAGCTATCTTTTTTTTGCAGTAACCCCATGATCTAACCGTTTATTTAAAAATTAGCGTGATATTTGGGATCACTGCGCCAAATATGTATGTATGTTTCCACGCATTTTGCTCAAGATTTTAAAAGCAGAAATCTTTAGTTTTAAAAAGCACCTGCTTAGTAATAGTGTTTAGGTCCGCAGACAAAGCTTGGAGGGCCGCAGGTTGAGTATAGCTGCTCTAGAATCTAGCGATGATGAGGATAATGCTATATTGACTGAAACCAGTAAAAATTGTAAAACAAATCCGAGCTTGGGCTGTTTCATTTAATATTAACCACGCCGCGTTAAAAGGGCTATTTAAAATTTTTAATGAAAGAATACCCAACATTCTTCCAAAAACGGACACCGAAAAAGATCGGTATATTGAACGGTTTATGCATAGTCACCTAGAATTTTCCAAAAATTTTGATAATCCTGGCTTGAGATCATTTTGCTCACTCGTTTTGGGGTAAATTTGGACAGCGTGAGAACCAACCAAAGACATCGATTATCAATAACACTGCAGAATTCTTTAAAATGGGGGGTGCAACTGTTATGTAACTTTTTTGTTTCTTAACTGATTTCAATGATTTTGAGTGCTCTATGTCAAAAAGTTGACAATGTTCCAATTTTTTTCGAAAATTTTAAATACAATGAAGCTTTTTTTAAATTTAAATGAAAAGAGGATAAAAAAATCAGGAATCTAGTGAAAATCGCAAATATAAATCTTAAATATATTATGATATAAATAATAAAGATTAAGATTTAGACCTCGATTTAGATTAATAATATTAAAATTATTATAAATTATTAGAAATATTGGAAATGTGAAAGTATATAAGGAGATATAAATTACGTCATTTCCAGTTATAAAACGAATGTGTCTTAAAAATAAGCATTATATAACAATTTAGAAGTTGCATAAAACCTAAATGTTACGAATAAATCAATTCTATTATAAAATAATTACAAGACTGTTAAACAACAATTTTATAAGTCGTTTCTAAATATTTTAATATGGTCGTAAGCCATATCTATAAAACAAATATTTAATATCCATAAAAGTATTATATATAATAGTAGTTTCAGAAACTAACTTATTTATAGGTATGTTGATAGTTCCAATAATATAACTTTAAAAAAATTGTTATATAAAAATGCTATAACATACTTCAGAATGTTTTATACTTACTTTTATACCCCATAATAAAACTGTTAAGAATCACATTTATTTTATAAATCTGCGCCTTTTCCGTGTTTATAAGTACCATATAAGCGTCTATAAAATGCTTTTAAAATATACAATTTTTATAACAAACTGTTATATAGTTGTTTATATAACTCTTTTAAGCATTTTTTGCTGCTTGGGAATATTATTTAAAATTGTCCAGTCTTCATTGGAAAGAGTTTGTTTCAACGGCGCTATATTCGCTAAAATTTATTTTCACTACATTTATTTTTGAATTATTTTCTAAAACTTTAAAATTGAAATTGTATGTGCCTTTTATAAATCCTAAGGGCTTTGATATTTATGCTGTCAATAAGCTAAATGAAACTGATCTGATGTGAAAAAGTACCCCAAAGATATTTAATTGTAGAAACATCCCAATAGGTGATTTTATAGGTATAATCAGAGGCGAAATCGTTTTGGGACGACACAACCTGAGAAGAGATAAACAATTTACTTATCGATCAATTATTTTTAAAAAAATATGCTGACATTTGTAGATTTTCAGAAAATAAATACCCTGAACCATCCAAATTTAAAAAGGCATTTTTACCTGATTTTGCACACTTCGCAATAGTGTAACTGTTGTGGCTTTGGAGGAGCCTTAGTCCTAATTGTTTTCGCGCCTCCCAAACCAGTTTTTCTAAAATTTTGCCATCCACCAGTTTTGTGCTGTCCTTGGTGTTGTTGTTGCTGCTGCTGCGCTACATACATGGTGGCTGTAAAACAAAAATTATTTTTTTTTTTTAATAATATAAAACATTTCAGAAATAGAAGCTACTTTTGGATAAATCATTTCAATCATCACATACTTAAGCATTTCAATATTTTAAAGAAAATAAAATAAAAAAAAATGCCAACACCTTATCATGCAAAGCATAAAGCTCACACAGATGAATTTAGAGATCGCTTGTTTACTTAGATAATTTATATAGTGCAAATTGCAACCCTGCTAATTTTTAGTTACACATTAAGAACAAATAAATATAAAAATCAACCTACTAGAAATATAGATATAATTTAAAATGTTATTGATAATTTTACCTAAACAAATTTTAATATAATACTTCTTATAAATTCAATTTCTAAATGTATTACTTGAAAACAAATTTGTTTAAGCAACATTTTATATACATTGTAGTTTCATTATAAATATTTTCAAAAGCCTATTTGACAGACCTAAATATAAGATACATAATTTAAAAAAAAGTTGATTTTATTTAGATCAATCAAGTATTTAAACACGAACGTTTTAAAAGTTAAATATTGCAAATAGACCACATTAGTGATTATAGCAGAAATAAATTAAACCTGTAAAGATTAGGTTAACCGATTGAGAAAATATAGCTCCTTATTTTATTGAGTTATTCAATTACACACAATATCTAACGGTCTCTATTTCAAAATAACAAGTGACAAATTCAGCATGACTCCATGCCTACTTTCAGGGGTATTATACCCTACACTAATGTAGTCCGTTTGTCATTTTTAATAAAAATAATAATTATGAAACTTATGGCCAAAATAATACAGTTTCGGAAACAAAATATCTAAAAAAAGCAAGAGAATATTTTGTCACTAAGAGAACATAAATATTATTTTCATACACCCTGGATAATATGATTGGGGTCACTTAAAAAGTAAAAGCGTATACTCGAGTAAGATTCAACTAAGAAAAAGCCACACACATCATACCTGACAAAGGCCGCAATAATTTGCCTCTCTTTCAGGTCCATCCCATTTAAGTGTCAGTGGCGTTTTGGCGATTTTTTTTCGTTTTTCTAATATAGAGATACAATTGCTTAATAATTTGGCAACGCTGTACGACTGCCGCATGGTCCAGAGGCTATCGCGTAAACATGGATCCCTTATTATTGTGAGCCAAACTTCGGCGTTGCCAAGCTTTTACTTACGAACAAAAATACGGGTTCATCGGAAGAAAGTGAAGACAGCGAGAGTACTATACTGTTTTTAAACTAGGAGGAGCGAATTGAAAAGACGCATTTACACAAGGAAAAGTACCTAGATTTGTTACTAAAAACGAGTTTTGAAATATAGTCGTGTTCAAAATTTATGAAATAATTATCTTTATCGGTCTTAGTCGGTGAACGGCCAATGAGCGGTTAAGAAACGAATAAATGACATAGAAGTAATTTGTTAATTGGCCCCAGACAACGGTCGCAAATTTCACATTATTGTGATCTGAAATGTGTGTCTAAAACGAAATGCCACTGTCAAATTAAAGTCAATATGGTTGTTGATTGATGTCAGAAATACTTTTTTCTTGCTTTTGAAATCGACTTTTTGAGAATAGCTATTATCTTTTTAAAATGGATAATAAATATTTAAGAAAATTGTTAATGGAATATCCAAATGTAGCCAGGTTAGTATAAAATATAAAGATCTGTTTACATTTTTAAGGATATATTTGTTATATGTATAAAAAGTAAAAGTTAATCAGTGAATGACAAGTGGATCACACAGTAACTGGTATCTTTTCTATGAGTAATTTGGATATTATGCCTTATTTAGTGTTAACCGATGGTTAATGCGCTAGAGGGCAAATCAAGACATTCAAAAGTTTACAGGCCTATGAGTCAGAATTTGTTTTGAAAACTGGAACCAACATTTTTATAACACTACATGTCAACATATATTTTTTAAAGTGAACTATTCATACATACCTATGTATTAATTTTAAGTATTTTTAAAATATTTTTTGTGAAAATAATGTTAACTCATTGTGCCAAATTAAGATTATCCCTAAAGTAGTAGATGGTGTTTTAAATGTTATAACAATGTTATAATAGTTTTATTCTATTCTAATAAATAAAATTTGCTTGAATATTTAGTTACATTTTAATCATTTTGGTTAGAAATTCATCAATTTAAAGTTTTAAAAAATCAGTAATAAAATTATTTTTTTCTAAAATACTTCGGAATTCATCTCTTCATGGTAATCTCCCATCTTTTTACCTTCAAAAACCAATAATGCATTTTCTACAAAACCTTCAGAATCAGCATGTAAAATAATAAGGTGTCTTCCCTTTCTTGTAAGGCTTTTCAGGATTGCTACCTTTAATAGTACTCAGTGTAGAAGGATCCATAATTGTAGATTTTCAATACAATTGCTTACTGAAGAACTATTGTTTACGAAATAAAGTAAAAAACTAAGTAATGGATGAGATATCAAATTATAAAATGTCAGAACTGTATCAATATCAATTATTAGCTGATGTTCATACTAAAAAGTAATGTGTGAAACTGACTGTAATCTGACCAATCAGAAGGCTACAGAACTGCCAACTTAAATTCAAATCGCTCCTCTTAGTTTAAAAACAGAGTATAATAGTTCATTAACGGACGAACTAGGATGTACTCTTCTAGTTTCACTTTTTGCACTACTTGCATAAATAATTTTAATTGTAATAAAAATCTTAAATTACAAAATTGTGTTGCTATTTTTATTTACTTCCCACTGAATGTTTTGCAAGTCTAAAGTCGAAAAATATATGTAATGTTATGTTAGTTTAGTTATTTAGGTAATATACAAATGTTTAAATCATTAAAATGTAACTTTTTAATCCAATAAATGTTTTTTATTGGGAAACTGCTTTAATTCTTATTTAAATAAGAGCCTACGCCACTGGTATATCGATCTGGAACAACGGAGAAGGAATATTTTAAAGTGAGGCAGACGATGACTAGTTGATGACACCCGTGGCTTTTTCTAAGTTGAATCGTACTCTACTTTTTTCCATTGGATTCATATGGTAAATAATTTGTTTCCGATAGCGTATACAATATTCCTGCATGCATTCAATATATTTTCATTTTGTACAAATCTTCAACATCCATCATTAACGTCGTTCTATCCGCAAAAGGACGTTAACAATCGAATAATTTCTAATCGAAAATTTGAAACAAAAGGTTTAAATTAAGCTTGGACACTCAAACAATAAGCTAATTACATAAATCATAAATACAATGATTTTTTTCTACATTTCTACATTTTGTTAGATTTTTGGACTTACCTTTAGCTTGTGTGGTGGGTTGAGCCGCTGAAGACTGTGTTACAGGTTGTACGTACGATGTAGCCTGACAATTTAGTACAATCAGTAAAAATTTAAAGGCGCATACATATTTTATTGCAGTTACATTTACATTTATACATAATTTAATGTATCTAAAATTTAAATTCTAAATCATTGGATAAATAGTCATGATCTTCACATTTTTGGTATTAAAATAGGAAATGGAGTTTTTACTTAAAAAAGTTATACCTGTTCGATGTCGCCATGACGTACCCTTTTCAAAAAAAAAAGGCAGATACATTTAGTGAATAGTGAAACAATTTTAAAACAGTAGTGTACTGGGGTTACTCTAATATCGACGGATTACTTTGGTCACCATTATAACCACATTTAGTCTAATCAGTCTTTCGTGGTTATACCAGCAGATTTGAAAATTAAAATACTTTTTCTATAATATTAAGTGTTTATACCTCCCTTATGGAACGTGGAATGACCAAGACTCAAGCAGTGCGAGAAACTGCCTCTTCAACGAAAACGCCGTATTCTACAGTATTTAAAATAGTAAGTAACCCTATTTTAAAAATAAGGAAAAGAAAAGATTCTGGTAATTCAAAGAAAAATATATGACTTGTATAGAGAGCAAACTGTGCCTACACTAGATATATTGATGCAACGACTTGAAAAGGACGAAACTGGCATCCAGTGTAGCAGAGACTTTAAGGAAGTATCTTTTAAGAAACGGGTTTAATTTAAAAAAATGTAATAACAGCAAAGAGTAACAATATATCAGGATTATTTACAGATATGATGAACAAATGTATTAAGATTAAACAAGAATCGTCTGGTTGGCCTGCAAACTGTAAAACGGACACCGAAAAAGATCGGTATATTGAACGGATATTCACAGAGAATTTTTAAAAAAATTTTGATAATCCTGGCTTGAGATCATTGGCCAAACTTTTGCTCAATTCGTTTTGGGGTAAATTTGGACAGCGTGAGAACCAACCAAAGACATCGATTATCAATAACACTGCAGAATTCTTTAAAATGATGTGTGATCCTTTGATATATGTGAACACTGTGCTCCTAATTGTTTTTCAGAAATGTTGAGTCTAGAATTTGAAATGTTATCTAATTCTCACGTCCAAACCGCGCAATGACGTAATGCGGGACGAACTTTCAAGTTATTTTGACACTTTTCGATTGAATAGTGTAAAATAATACAATAATTTATTTGTTTTTTCCTATATATAACAGGGAAGAACTAAATTAATATTTAAAATGCCGGGCTGCGCGGTAGATATTTCCGAATGCCACAAAATATGGGTAAATTCTTATCGAAGAAAGGACAAACTTAATTGAAGTTGCCCTATCCACTTTGAGGAAAGTAGTTGTGAGATTCCTCTTAAACCTAGACGCAAGAAAAGGAAACTGAATTCCACCAGGTACTCAGGCCTCATTAAGCAAAGAAAATAAATCAGTATTTTAAAATTTTAGCAGATAAAAGAGTAGTTTCCTGTCCCAATACAACGGTCCATTTGAAGTAATGCCATGCACGAGTAGAACACGAACATATATAAGAATAAGATAAATGAACAGAAAACTTGGTTTTGAGTATTTTCAATGTAAACTTGACAAAAATGTTTAAATTTACCAAAAAAGTAATTTCTTTGTGTACTTATTTTTTTATAAATAGTTTGTTTCTGTACACTTATTTTTATTTCACATAATAAGTTCTTCTATCCAATTCTATCTTTGGCCTTATGTAAGTTTTATATAATTTGAGGCAGCATTCTGTATGTCGCACGTATTTCTTTTTATTTAACAAAATACCTTGTAAGGTATATTTTACTTTTACTAACAATAGTAACTTTTTTAAGTAAAACTTCCATATTTCCTATTTTAATGCCAGAAATAACAAAAAGTGACATAAAACAAATAGGGAAAATGTCCGTTGCCCTCCCCCTAATGAGACGCTTATAATCGCAATGGAAAAGTTGTTCCTGCTGCTTTTAATTGACTATAAAAACCTAGTATTCATAATAAATTTGATCTTTTAAAATGGCTGAATTTTGAAAATTAAAGAAAAAAACAAATTGGCCAAAGGAAGCAAGTTGGAAAGTTAGGTAAGTTTGGTTAAACCAACTTATTTTAAGCCCATAAATCTGTGGCAGCTCCATGTATATGAAATTTCCCCTATATATGAAAATATTACTAACAAAAATTACCCTAGTTTTTTTTTACTGCAATCCACAGTTTATTTATACAGTGTGGAAAAGCCAAATGGAATAAATTCATTATTTCGATTACTGTACATATTTATAGAAAATCCCGAAACACGTCAAATTTAAATTATAAATTGACATTCTTTAAAGTGAAAATGTGATCCCTACCTTCAACCCTTTTTGAGTAACAGTTACAACCCCTAATTTTTTAAATGAAGTATAGGCTTATAATATATCGTTTGAAAGGTCTCTTCATTCTCTATCCAAAAATGTTGTTTTTAAATTTATTGCAAAAATTAACATAAAATCATCTTATTACCGAAATTCTCTAGAGTACCTACACTATTTCCCGTTTCAGTCTTTATAATAAGAAAGTACCTAAGCAAAAACCATATCAGTGTTCTTTTTTAATATCAATTTAAAAAAATCCTTTAAAAAACTATCATATCAATGTTAGTTTGTTTAAAACGCCTTAGCAAATTGGTTTGTAATAATTATAACTGCAGGATATTGTCAATATTATAATTGTCGTTTGAATTTCATAAAAACGGTTAGATTAACAAAAATGCATAAAATAATAGTTTTACAGATGATTGGTTACGGAGATAACACCCGAACACAAATGGAAGTTGCTCGCTTATTTAATGAAAAATTTCCGAATTTGCCGCCCAAGGTACAATTAGTAAAATAGAGAAGGAATTTCGCGAATTTGGACACGTAAAGCAGATGAAAAAAACAGCTACCAATGCACTGAGTGATGATATCAAATTAGATATGATGCTTGAGTTTGAGGAAAACCCACATACATCGAGTAGACAAGCATCTGCAACATTTAATGTCAGCCATACATCGATACTAAACATATTAAATGAAAATAAAATGCATCCCTATAAAATGATACCGACTCAGGAACTCATGGAAGACGATTTTGATAGGAGAACAAATTTTTGCGAACAAATGATGGAAATGTTGAATAACAATACCATCCAATTAGAAAACGTTATGTTTTCTGATGAGTGCACTTTTTCCGTTAATCTTCAAAATTGCAGCTACTGGTCAACGGAAAATCCTCACTGGATGAGAGAGGTCCATACACAATACCCTCAAAAGGTTAATGTTTGGGCAGGGATTGTTGAAAATCATATTATTGATCCCTTTTTCATTGAGGGGAATTTGAATGGCGATAATTATTTAGCACTACTACAAAATGATGTGGTGCCAAGTTTGGCAAATTTATTTCCTGATCCAGGAAACCCTCAAGTTCCAGCAAATACCATATGGTTCCAGCAAGATGGAGCACCAAAAATTACTAAATCAATGTCCGCCAGTGCCTCAACTTAACATTTCCAAATCGCTGGATAGGGAGGCGAGGATCAATAAAATGGCCAGCAAAATCACCTGATCTTACTCCATTAGACTTTTTTTTATGGGGCTATGTGAAAAATATTGTTTACAAAACTAAACCACGTGATTTGGATGACTTAAGAGAACGAATAATGCTTGCGATTAGATCGGTCACGCCTGATATGTTAATTAACGTTAGAAGACATTTTTATTCAAGATTAGGATGTTGCCAAGACGTTCGCGGTGAGCATTTTGAACATCTACTTCATTGACATTCATATTTTTTACGTTATGAACAATTAAATATTACATATTGAATGTATTGTAACAAATTTCGGTTATCAGTTATTTTATGTTAATTTTTGCAATAAATTTAAAAACATTAACATTTTTGGATAGAGAATGAAGAGACCTTTCAAACGATATATCACAAGCCTATACTTCCCATTTAAAAAATTAGGGGTTGTAACTGTTACTCAAAGGGGGTTGAAGGTAGGGATCACATTTTCACTTTAAAGAATGTCAATTTATAATTTAAATTTGACGTGTTTCGGGATTTTCTATAAATATGTACAGTAATTAAGAATTTGAAGACTATTTTCATTTGTTTCTTGGGTTTTAGACGTTATTTTTTGAATCATTTACTACATATTTAACGATTTTTATTTTCACTCAAAATAATAATTTTCAATAATACATTTTTTCAAGTTTTACCATTTTTTGCTTTCATAAAAATATATTGGTCCCAGCAAACATTTTGGTGTAATTTGACGTCGATACTACCTAAATCATATATAATAAATTTGGTCGCAAAATTAGATTTAACCATAATTAAGTAAAATTTACGTTGGCTCGACGTGGATTCGACATAAGTGGAGAATAAGACGACGTCGAAATTTGGTTTTATTTACCAAAATAGGTAGAATTACATCTAAATCCACATTGTAGTAGCCCAGTACGTTTGGTTAATAATACCTCTCTAGGGAAATTTGACGTCAGTATAACGTTAATTCGACGTTGATTTAACTAAGTTTAGGTAGAAACTACCAAAATATTTGCAGATGACGTATGCCTCCAAGTGCACGAAAAGAAATTTTATACTTATTTGGTATTTTTATCTATATATAAGTAGAAATATTGTAAGAAGTACCAACACAACTAAAACATATACCTAATTCACATGAAAGATTGAAAATAAATAAATGACGGTGACAAAAATATATGTAATGTAATTGCGGTGAATATACAGTTCACGCTTGTTGAAATTAATGCGAAGAAAATTTTGTCGTGCACGTTAACAGTTCTACTTAGAAAAATAACAATGCCCCTCCAAAATACCCCTCTAATTAAAAAAATATAAGAAAAAATATGATCTTGTAAAAAAATAATAATAATATTATGAGCTAAAACTATGTTACGTTTGTTGTGTATCACTTTAGAAAATCAATGTTTCGTTTTTCGGTATTTTCATTCGTATGTTCTAGTTATGGTCATTTTAAAAATTTAAAATTTGGAATCGTATTTCAATTACGTTTAAAAAATATGGCGTATTGTGCGAATTCGATCTAAAAGTTATTATGACTAAGGAAATCTACGTATTTTACAAACACCTTTTTACTAAGTTGAATTAACTTCAATTTCACGACATATTAGTTAACTTTACCTATTTAAAGAAATAATAACTTATAAGTTTTATAAAAAATTTACCTATAGGTAAATATAACATATTTAGGTCACGTTGTTCTGCACTTGAGATTTTAGACGTTTCACTTATAAAACTCAGAAGTATAACGATATGATTTATTATTTTTCAAACTCATTTTATTATTTTTCGCACTCATTTAAAGCTGTATTTCCACCACACGTAAATTAAGATTACAACTGTAATGGCTTTTTTAAAATGGCCGAAATTCTTAAGAATAATGACGAAGACAGTAACTGAACAACCTAATTGATAAAATAACCTAAATAATATAAATTTTACAAATAGGTCATGTATGACTGTTTTTAAATTGGTGGTTTTTAGTCGGATTTACTTTGTGGTAGATTTTTCAGGTAATTGCTACAACAAAGTTAATAAATATTTCTTCAAACTGACTTATAGGTCAACTAAATGAGTATTCGACTATTTGGTTGAAATTAGGTAGATAAACAGGTAGAATTTTGCTACGATCTCGACCTATTATTACTTTAAAGGAGAGTAAATAAAAGCGACCAAATAGGTTACTATGGAGGCATAAAATTACGTAGAATTTTTAACCAAATCTACCTAGTTGGATATTCTACTATAAAGACGATTTTTAGTTACCAAACAGGTAGATATTACCTAAATATGGCACCTAATTTTACTACAAAGGAAATTTAACTTTGAAATAATTGTTGGTTATTTTTTTAGTAGTTTTTCCCTTGCTCTGATATGGTTAAAGTTACTTTTAAGCAGATTTGTGTAAAAGGTAGATTTCTTGGTATAATTTACGTAAATTTAAATATAAATTAAAACCGTTTGGTAAATTTACATTAGAGGTATATTTTTCTAGTCAATTTTACGTAATAATTACCTCAATAAGTAAATTCGTCTTTAACCAAGTCGAGTTATAACTAATGTTATAGAAAATGTTTGCTAGGTCATGGAAGACGATTTTGATAGGAGAACAAATGATGGAAATGTTGAATAACAATACCATCCAATTAGAAAACGTTGTTTTCTGATGAGTGCACTTTTTCCGTTAATCTTCAAAATTGCCGCTACTGGTCAACGGAAAATCCTCACTGGATGAAAGAGGTCCATACACAATACCTTCAAAAGGTTAATGTTTGGGCAGGGATTGTTGAAAACCATATTATTGGTCCCTTTTTCATTGAGGGGAATTTGAATAGCGATAATTATTTAGCACTACTACAAAATGATGTGGTGCCAAGTTTGGCAAATTTATTTCCTGATCCAGGAAACCCTCAAGTTCCAGCAAGATGGAGCACCTCTACATTACCAAATCAATGTCCGCCAGTACCTCAACTTAACATTTCCAAATCGCTGAATAGGGAGACGAGGATCAATAGAATGGCCAGCATGATCACCTGATCTTACCCTCATTAGACTTTTTTTATGGGGCTATGTGAAAAATATTGTTTACAAAACTAAACCACGTGATTTAGATGACTTAAGAGAACGAATAATGCTTGCGATTAGATCGGTCACGCCTGATCTGTTAATTAACGTTAGAAGACATTTTTATTCAACATTAGGATGTTGCCCAAACGTTCGCGGTGAGCATTTTGAACATCTACTTCATTGACATTCATATTTTTTACGTTATGAACAATTTAATATTACATATTGAGTGTATTGTAACAAATTTCGGTTATCAGTTATTTTATTTTTTTTTATGTTAATTTTTGCAATAAATTTAAAAACAATAACATTTTTGGATAGATAATGAAGAGACCTTTCAAACGATATATCACAAGCCCATTTAAAAAATTAGATGTTGTAACTGTTACTCAAAGGGGGTTGAAGGTAGGGATCACATTTTCACTTTAAATAATGTCAATTTATAATTTAAATTTGACGTGTTTCGGGATTTTCTATAAATATGTACAGTAATCGAAATAATGAATTTATTCCATTTGGCTTTTCCACACTGTATATTAAGAATTTGAAGACTATTTTCATTTGTTTCCTGGGTTTTAGACGTTATTTTTTGAATCATTTACTATATATTTAACGATTTTTATTTTCACTCAAAATAATAATTTTCAATAATACATTTTTCAAGTTTTACCATTTTTTGCATTTATAAAAATATATTGGTAGTTAAGATCAAATGAAACAAAAAAAGATAATGCATTCATGAACTATTTAAACTAGCCAAAATGCTCTGAGTGGGTAGAAAGTGAACAATACACAAATTAAATTTTGTATCAATGAAATATAATTGTTTCAAATCTAAATAACAAAGATTGTTCTGGGAAAATATAAGATACTTACTTGTACTTGTTGCTGTTGTTGCTGATTAGTCCTCTGAGGATAAGTTGTAGAATATGTGGCAGGTTTAGCTACTGCAGCTACAACCGCTGACTGATCGTATCCTGCCGTATAACCTGTAGCTGCCGTTTGACCTGATTAAAATGCGTATAAAACTAAATACAACCACATCCTTTTTAAAAATTAAGTGTTCTAATTTTTAAAAATAACAAAGTATACAAAAAAAAAATTAGCAGGGATGTATTGAAAGTATATTTAATTTTTACCATTACAGTAATTAATAATTTATAAAAATAGCATATTTAATTTCTTTTGGAAAAATTTGAAAGGTTCTTTTTCTTAATGTTTTGGAGGAATTTTTATATCATTAATTGTTTTCAAATTATATAATCACCTCCAAAACACTCATTTAATTGTTTACTATTGAAAGTAATTAAGTCTCGTTTAAATAAAAAACATTCAACTCCTCTTTTTTCATAATATATATAAGTTGCTATCTTAGATAAAAGAGACCAGAGATATAACATACACCGGTTTTAAACCTGCGCAAATGTTGCCAATTTCTAAAGAAGGGTTAACGGAGTGGGGGAACTGGGCGGCGACCCGAACTCTGTGACAGGGACCGGACTTTGTTTATTAGCATCTTAATGAACTATTAGGTTTATTTAAAATGTGTTTAATCGAATTTTATATTATGAAATAAAATTAACGTGATTTTTTAATATCAAACAGATGCCACGACATTTTATGTAAAGAGAAGACCTTTTATAGAATATTTCGTTAGCGTTTATTTACTACGAACTTTTCTGCAAGAGATTACAGTAAAATGTTGAAATAGAATATATTGTTAATAGAGCAAAAAATGTTACTCATTGTCTACGAGTATTATAAAAATAGCATGTGCGCAGGCTAATACTGCAAATCTACCCTTATGAGTTGAACATTATATTTTTTCTACAGCTATTACATATTATTAAAAATTAGTCAAAATGAAAAAATGTAACCTCAGAAAAAAGTATATTAAGGCTTCTTTCTTTAAGAATATTAATTATTATGAAGGATGAGTCACATAAAACTCTAGAAATGCATATGTCTGAAACCAGATAATATTTTAAAATTTAACATTTTAAAAGTCATTTGGTCGCTAGGGATTAGTGATTATCGAAATAAATTATCGATCATTGAAAATAATCGATTATTTTCGATCAATCGATTATTTTCAAACAATATATTTTTTGTCATTTCCTTTAAAATCGGCTACTTGATTATCTTTGAAAAATCAAAAATATTCGATTAATTAAAAAGCCAATTAACCGATAAATCAGTGTTTACAAAATATAATATAAATAGAATTATCGTTTATTTTAAATAATCGATTATTTTCAAATAAACCATTTTTTTTCGTCCATGGAAACAGATTATTCGATAATCTTTGAAAAATCGAAAATAATCGATTAATTAAAAAGTCGATTAACTGATAAATCGATTAAAAAAAAACAGAATGATCGATTATTTTAAATAATTGATTATTTTCGATCAATCGATTATTATCAATAATCTATTTTTATTGTATTTCCTTTAAAATCGTTAATTCGATTATCTTTGAAATACCGAAAATAATCGCCTAATCGAAAATAATCAATTAATTAAAAAGCCGATTCTATGATAAATCGATTATTATCAATAATCTATTTTATTGTATTTCAAAAATAATCGATTAATTAAAAAGTCGATTAACTGTCAAATCGATTTTCAAAAACAGAATGATCGATTATTTTAAATAATCGATTATTTTCGATCAATCGATTATTATCAATAATCTATTTTTATTGTATTTCCTTTAAAATCGATAATTCGATTATCTTTGAAATACCAAAAATAATCAATAATTCCAAAATAATCGCCTAATCGAAAATAATCAATTAATTAAGAAGCCGATTCTATGATAAATCGATTATTACCAATAATCTATTTTATTGTATTTCAAAAATAATCGATTAATTAAAAAGTCGATTAACTGTCAAATCGATTTTCAAAAAAAAAAACAGAATGATCGATTATTTTAAATAATCTATTATTTTCGATCAATCGATTATTATCAATAATCTATTTTTATTGTATTTCCTTTAAAATCGATAATTCGATTATCTTTGAAATACCAAAAATAATCAATAATTCCAAAATAATCGCCTAATCGAAAATAATCAATTAATTAAGAAGCCGATTCTATGATAAATCGATTATTACCAATAATCTATTTTATTGTATTTCAAAAATAATCGATTAATTAAAAAGTCGATTAACTGTCAAATCGATTTTCAAAAAAAAAAACAGAATGATCGATTATTTTAAATAATCTATTATTTTCGATCAATCGATTATTATCAATAATCTATTTTTATTGTATTTCCTTTAAAATCGATAATTCGATTATCTTTGAAATACCAAAAATAATCAATAATTCCAAAATAATCGCCTAATCGAAAATAATCAATTAATTAAGAAGCCGATTCTATGATAAATCGATTATTACCAATAATCTATTTTATTGTATTTCAAAAATAATCGATTAATTAAAAAGTCGATTAACTGTCAAATCGATTTTCAAAAAAAAAACAGAATGATCGATTATTTTAAATAATCTATTATTTTCGATCAATCGATTATTATCAATAATCTATTTTTATTGTATTTCCTTTAAAATCGATAATTCGATTATCTTTGAAATACCAAAAATAATCAATAATTCCAAAATAATCGCCTAATCGAAAATAATCAATTAATTAAGAAGCCGATTCTATGATAAATCGATTATTACCAATAATCTATTTTATTGTATTTCAAAAATAATCGATTAATTAAAAAGTCGATTAACTGTCAAATCGATTTTCAAAAAAAAAAACAGAATGATCGATTATTTTAAATAATCTATTATTTTCGATCAATCGATTATTATCAATAATCTATTTTTATTGTATTTCCTTTAAAATCGATAATTCGATTATCTTTGAAATACCAAAAATAATCAATAATTCCAAAATAATCGCCTAATCGAAAATAACAAATTAATTAAGAAGCCGATCCTATGATAAATCGATTTTCCAAAAAATAAAACGAATTATCTATTATTTTCTAATAATCCTTTTTTCATATTTCCTTTGAAATTGATTATTCGATTATCGAAAATAATTGATTATTAAAAAGCTGATTATCCAATAAATCGATAATTTTAAAAAAATAACCAAAATATCGATTATGTAAAATAACCGATTATATTCAATCGATTATTTTCATATAATATCTTTGAAAAATCGTAAATAACCTTATAATTAAAAAACCGATTAAACGATAAATCGATAATTTTGAATAAATCTACTTTTTCTGTATTTCCTTTAAAATCGATTAATACATTATCTTAAAAAAAAAAAACGAAAATAATTTATTAAAAACAGCGGATAAATCGATTTTCATTAAAAAATATCAGAATTATCGATAAATCGATTATTTTTGTAACCCCTATCGGTCGCTTGCTTTTATCTGAGCATTTAGCTCCAAAATTTAGAGATTCGGATTTTTTGATCCAGTTATCTTTGAAATCGCATTCGCTTGTATAATAAATAAATATTGCTAAATTTTGGATTTTTTTTAGTAAACGAAAATTATGTTCGAGTTGTTTAGGGGTTTGTAATGTAACATTTTATTAACGTGACTAAGGGTCGATTCCACTATTGTGTTAAACGAAGTTTAAAATGACATTTTTACATTAACACTGTCATTTTAATCTCCGTTTAACACAACGGTGGAATCGGACCTAACTCCTGTAACTTTAGTATTTTTTTTTGCTCATACTAGATTACTTTGTTTTAAGACTGAAAATTCAATGTCACTTTCGATTTGACCGCAAATAAGATGAACCTTGAAATTTTAAGTAGGTCATCCTGTATTTCATCTAATATTCTTATAAAAATACCTTATAAAAATAAAATTTAGCTAGCAACTATGATTCTTTACCTCTTATTTATCTACCAAAAAGGGCTAAAAACTACCTTTAGAAAACATTCTTATAAAACTACTTTTTAAATACAAAATTTCGTTAGCAATAATGCCTATTTACTATTTATTTAAATTAAATGTTCAAAATTTTACCCTTTTGTAAATTTATGTAAGTAATATGAAATCTGATTTCTGATGCTTAATATTTATTGAAACCCCTTAATGCGGATCTGAAGTATTCAGCCCAGAGAATCATGGCGCTTTATGTCAAAACGTTAATAAATATTTACCGCTGAAAACGAATATATTCATAACAGTAGTACTTGTATTATAAGTACATACAATTTTTCAAGATACATCGTGACATTTTGAACTTGAAATTGAATAACTAGAACACTTTAAATTGCTAAAATACCAACAAATAAATCAAAAAACAGCTGTCAATGGTGATTAAACTCAGGTGGAGGTGATCGCTGAATGGAAATCGGAGCAATTCGGGTGGCGTCGTGCAACAATGATTTTCAATTGGTGGGTTACTTTGCCTTAAAATAGACAACATGCGCAGTGTGCAATGTTACATCTTCGGTCTCTTTAATCTAAGGTTGCTATAAATGACTGGTATCCTCCCTTTGTCTGTATATTAAAATATAATATTAAGTAATCATTAATTTAATTTCAAATATCTACATTGCATTAATTTCTGTAAGGAATTATGGCTATTATGGCTAACAAATAATATTAAAATATTCATAAAATTATGTTTAAAAATGTTGATTGGCAGATTCCCCATTCAAATTTTTGAATATTTCCATCACCTTTAAAATTTTTGCTATAACAAATTAAAATGGATCAAAAACAGCAACATACACAAAAAATTCCTGTTGACTAATTTAATGAAAAATCCCTAAATTTCCTGTCTAATTTTGTTGATTTAACAACTAGGAGACCGACCGTCCTACCACTTTTTTTTATAAATAATACTTGAAGAATAATATTCCAATAATTGAATAAATCAAGCTTTATCAATGACGAGAAATTTGAAAAATCAACCTTTAGAGTTAACTCTGAAAAGTTTCTTATTGAAATAAACATACCACTTATTTGCAACAAGGATAAAATTAAAATATATAATCCAATCTTT